ATGAAAATATCAGAGGTGCGAGACCCGGTATTTGAACTTGCTTCAATCGGTTTCCCAAGCGAGCGCGTTAATTTTACTTCAAGAAAATCTTTCTTTCCCACGAGAAAATACAATAACTGGTTTTATCGAGTCCTCCCTAAAAACCTTCTGCTGGCTAAGCCTTAAGACATACATACATACATTAAAACAATATACTAAAAAATTGTAGGTCTTGAAAAGTCCTACAGAAAAGTTCTGAATTGTATATGTCAATCTTCCTAAGTTACACTCGCAATATTTATTCTTATCTATACGTATAATAAAATTAACTTAGTCAAATTGATGTGCGCGTTTCACGCAAAAAGTACTCAACCGATTTTAACTAAATTTTGTATAGTGATTACTTAGTACTTGGGTCAACTTCTAACATTTAGGATACCTTTTACGACAGGCAAATTATTCATTCCCACGGGAAAACACAATAACTGGTTCTATCGAATCGTCTTTAGAAATTTTTATGGGTAACGTTGGCTCAACTTTAAGAGGAAGATCAAAACATTTTGCAAAAAAATTGTAAGTCTTAAAAAGGTCTATAGAAAAGTTCTACATAGTATATGTCTATCTGCTAAGGTACACTCGCTATAACTATTGTCATTATAATATATTACGTTATTTATTCTATCTATACATATAATAAAACTGTAGAGGTTAGAAAAAAAATGCTAAAAACCGAGTCAGTTCTCTTCTTACATCCCGAAAGAAAAGAAATAGAACAAATCCAGTTTTCTTTTTCATTTTTTTTGTTTCTCTGTCTGTTTGTTTGTTTGTTTGTACGGGCTAATCTTCGAAACTATTGAACCGATTTATATGAAGTTTTGCATGGTAGTACCTCATACCCCGGTCAACATCTAAGATACTTTTCATTCTAGAAAATTAAAGAGTTTCCGTGGAATAGTTAAAAACTATAGTAACTTATACAGCTTAGTACACAACAACTTATCCACGTAATTTACTAAAATTTTGCATGCTGATACCTTATATTGGCGGTCAAACAACGGGTTACTTTTCATCCCGCGAAAATGAACGGTTCCCGTGGGATAGATCTGTTTGTGTTTTCCTAGAGGTGAACCCGAGCGAAGCGAGGGTGAGCCGCTAGTCATTAATAAAAATAAAGTAAAACACTAATTTCAGTATTTAGCGATTTTTTATAAAACTGAATTAAATTTTACCCAAAATTGGATGGCAATTATAATCAAATCGTTTTGCTGGTGTGTTTGTATATTGTATACTCTATACAAACTTTGTCAGTATTAAACTCGCTTATTTTATGGATACTTGATAAGCCTAAAGCTACGATTGGTATTTTTTCAAACATTCAATCCATATTGACTGCAAATTTTTGAAGATCTTTTAAATATAGCCCAACCCCTAAAGCTGCTATTTAGCACATATAAACTAGAAAAAAATGGATCTCGATTTTTTAATTAATTATTTTTTAATTTTATATACATCTCTGTCACGTTCATTAGTAATCAGTAGCGGCTCACCCTCGCTTCGCTCAGGTTCGTCCCTGAGTACGTTTTGACGCTTAGTATAGAATAGATTTTTTTTTTTAATTTTTGTTTCGTATTTTTTTCCGATGTTTAATAGTTATTCTGCTATTCGGGGTGAAGACATATCCAACAAAACAAAGATCACAAAAATCGATCCAGCAATTCTCGAGTCAAACCCGACTTTGTTTTATATTATTAATCATTAGTAAAATATGTAAATTTCTGCGGCGTCAACGCTCCGTTCCCTGAAATAAAGTTTTATCTATAATTGCTTACCTTACTGCTTACCTATTACTTTTCTTAATAATGTGTTTGTTTTTGCTTTCATTACATTTTGCCTTTTGGTGCCTAAATTGAAAGTAGTATTCATTGTTTCTTTAAAAAATTGCTATACATTATTAAAAGGAACATCAATATAAAAAAAATGTTAATTGTTTTCATTAGATTACAATTGTTAAAGTGATATATACTTGTAGGCCATTCTAACATATATCTTTATTTTGAATAAATTACTTACATGTTTAAAAAATAATAAGCATAAGAATTTAAATAGACATTCGAGTAATATAATTTTAACATTTAAAAGGGTAAATTATTTTATAATTGCTACTCACCCTCGCTTCACTCGCTTCACTCGGTTCGTCCCTTGTGAGAAACAAAAACAAATCTATCCCACGGGAACCGAACATTTTTTCCGGGATAAAAAGTATCCTATGTACTATTCCAGACTATACGTATAATCAATTTCTGTGCTAAAGTTCATCCAGATCCGTTCAACCGTTCTGGCGTGATTGTGATTGAGTAACATACATCCATCCAAACTTTCGCATTTTTAATATTAAAATATTAATAATGGGGTTAATTCCTTAAATTTAAGCTTGGAAAAATAATGTTGTTGTAAAATATTTAAAATATTTTGTTGTAAAAATAAGATCGTCTCTCACCCCTCCCTCACTAAATAATAATACGTAGTTTGTAATTAACATCTACAAACAATTATTATTATACTGATAGGTTGCCAAAAAGTAATGAATGTTTTTTTGTTTTTATGTTTATCAAAGGCTTCTTAATTAAATTCAATTGTTTGTTTTATGGTTGGCCACAGATTGACTAGTAAAGAAAGTATTATTAGGTAAGCAACTCTTATAGTTCTTGTAGTTTTTGTAGTTCAACGGATTCCTCGCTTCAATTTTTTTGATTATGACTTTATAGTACCTACTGTGCCAGAATTGTGCCAGATTACTTCGCCAATGTCACGTAGGAATAAAAAATACTTTTTACTAGGCTCACCAAACTTGGCCCCCCAGGATTTATTTTTTATAATTTTTGAATATCGTTTGTTTTTGATTGTTCATAAATAATTGTTTGTTCGTAAATTGTTTATCTATACATATAATAAAATTGTAACTAAGTCAAATCTGTACATTAAATATTTTTTGGGAAATCTAATTGAAATAGACATTATTATCGATATAGAGCCCGAATCTATAGTTTTTAGAATTTTTGTCTGTCTGTCTGTCTGGTACCGCATCACGAGAAAACCACTGGATAGATTTTGGTGACATTTGGTATGATGATAGCTATTAAATAAAACTATCTTTTCGGATTATTTCGCGGATTTATTTTGATTTTTGGTTCCCGACGTTTCGAATGCTTTACAGCATCCATGGTCACGGGAGAGACTGAGGTGTTACATGTCTTAAAGATATAGTTGTTACAGACAGCCTACCCACAATTAACAAAATGAAAATTGCACCAATTACATTACAATATTTTTAACTTTAAACATTTTTTATAATTTTAATTATAATTGAATATGGAAAATTATTTATTTAATTTTTGCTATTATTTTTATAATTACTACAATTTTAAAAATATTAATTAGTAATCTATATTTAGTGTTGCCATTATTATATTTATAACCATAAATAAAAATATAAAAAATTTTTTTTTTTTTATATTTTTTATATTTTTTTATATTTTTTTTTTATATTTTTTTTTATATTTTTTTTTTTATATTTTTTATATTTTTTATATTTTTATATTTTTATTTATGGTTATAAATATAATAATGGCAACACTAAATATAGATTACTAATTAATATTTTTAAAATTGTAGTAATTATAAAAATAATAGCAAAAATTAAATAAATAATTTTCCATATTCAATTATAATTAAAATTATAAAAAATGTTTAAAGTTAAAAATATTGTAATGTAATTGGTGCAATTTTCATTTTGTTAATTGTGGGTAGGCTGTCTGTAACAACTATATCTTTAAGACATGTAACACCTCAGTCTCTCCCGTGACCATGGATACTGTAAAGCATTCGAAACGTCGGGAACCAAAAATCAAAATAAATCCGCGAAATAATCCGAAAAGATAGTTTTATTTAATAATGTCAAACATTCGCGTAAATCTAAGAAAGTATTATGATGATAGCTGGTTATCCGGGTCAACATATAGGCTTCTTTTTACCGCGGGAAAATATCTAATTTCTGAGAAAAAACAAAAACTGCAATGTAAGTGTATACTGCTATGTAAAACCTAAGAATTAGGTTTTTGGTCATCTGAACGCGGGCGGAGCCGCGGGCAATGCTAGTTTACAAATAAATAAACAAAAATGTCCCCTCAAAATAGCCCCCTCAATCGAATCAAAAAAACAAAAAATAGGCACTTTGACGATAGAACAAACGTATTTTATGAAAGAACAAACATTAATGAATATTTAAAGACTACTAGTAACAAGAAAAATAATAAATTTTATTTGAGGGGGCTATTTCGAGGGTACATTTTTGTTTATTTATTTATAAATAAACAATTTACGTCCAAACAATTGTTTATGGCAAACAAACGGCGAACAAATGTTATGTGAATATAAAAATTCAAAAATTAGAAAAAAAAACTGCAAGCATGGTGAGTCATTTCACAACGGTTCCTTTTCTTTTAGAAATAATTTGGCAATTGACAGTGGCAGCTGTCAACAGCTAGATGTCATCAGTCATGTGCCTTGCTTGTCAATTTCCTATCAGACAAGAACTTAAAACACTTGCAAAAAAATTTTTTTAACTATTGTTCTGTGTACAAATATCGTGCTTGTTATCATTTAACTCCATGTCGTTACTGATAACCCTTTTCTGTATTAATTATTGTATGTAAATTAGTCTTTATCAAGCAACATTATGTCTGCTATGTCATTCATTAAATCTACAAAGGGGAAAGTGATACTTGGTACTGTAGCAACTCTTCATCTGGCAATTTACTTTGCGAAACCATCACTTTTCAAGGGCAAGGAAGACAAAAATTACGTGGCTGCGCCTAAATATCTGCCGTAGAATAAAACGACCTTGACATTACGGAAATAAACCCGGACCAAGTAAATCGAACAAATTCATGATTTATAAAAGACTTGTCGCTTCTGTGGCCAGTACTATTCATAAAGGTCTGGTGAGCAACTTCACAAGAAACATGAGTACCGGAAGGTTTCAGGTGTACGTTACGCGTTCTGATATGCCAGAATGTGGTATTGAAATACTTAAAAAACAGTAAGTACAGTTATTGATAATATAATCTGATATAAATATACATGTTGTCATAACACCTTACATCTAGCTATAACTATATCAGTATTAGTATAAGAAACTTTCAAATGATAATCCTACATTTAATAATATAATAATATAAATAATAACTCAAAAATTTAAGTCCAGGTCTTAGATAACACTCATTCTTCTATTTCAAATTCATCATTTATATTCTTTCAGGTTTGATGTAAAGATGTGGAATAAACCATCTCCAGCCCCACAGAGTGAATTGTTAAAATCAGTTGCTGGTACCAATGCAATTTTTTGTTCTTTAAGTGATCAAATAAATAAGGAACTACTGGATGCTGCAGGGCCAAGCCTAAAAGTTGTGGCTACAATTTCAGTAGGCTATGACCATATAGATGTTGCTGAATGTAGGAAGAGAGGCGTAAAAATAGGATACACACCAAATATATTAACTGATGCTACTGCTGAATTAACAGTAAGTTAATTAATAAAATAATATAACAAGAAGCTCAGTGCTGATTTTTTATTAGTAATATTCTGGTACTTATTTTATTCTTACTAATTTAACTACATTAAAGAAGAATCTAATTATTAGTCTTGTTTTTATATCCCAGATGGATATAATTTAGAATATTGATTGACAGTAATTGAAATATTTCAGATGGCATTGTTACTAAGCACATCAAGACGTCTCCCTGAAGCACAACATCAAGCAAAAACAGGGGGCTGGGTATCTTGGGCTCCGACTTGGATGACAGGATCTGGGTTAGCTGGATCCACTGTCGGCATAGTTGGCTTAGGAAAAATTGGTCTAGCAATAGCTAAACGAGTCAAACCTTTTAATACCTCTAAAATTCTATACCATAGTCGCAGTGTAAAGGAAGAAGCCAAAGAAGTAGGGGCTATTAAAGTTCCTTTTGATGAACTTCTCGCTCAAAGTGATTTTGTTATTTGCTGTGTTGCACTTGTGCCCGAAACTAAAGAGTTATTTAATAAAAGTGCATTCGAGAAGATGAAAAAGACTGCAGTATTCGTGAATGTGAGTCGAGGAACTATAGTTGATCAAGATGCATTGATAGAAGCACTTCAAAATAAAACTATTTGGGCTGCAGGGTTAGATGTTACAACACCTGAACCATTGCCATTGGACAGCCCGTTATTTAAACTTGATAATTGTGTTGTTCTACCTCATATAGGCAGTGCCACTATAGATACTAGGAACAATATGAGCACACTTACTGCTAATAATATTGTTGCTGCACTCAACGGCACTAAAATGCCAGCAGAATTATAATAATTACACAATAAGACATGTTATTGTTTTGTGAAGTTCAAATAAATGTAATATATTTAATATATTTTATTTTTATTCATTATATGTATGTATAATACATACATTATATTGTGTGGTCTATATTCATCTCCTACCAGATTACATTCAGGTTTGTCATGAGTTATGACATGAAAATTGCATTCTTTTATCTCTTTTAGTTCACTATCATCATATGATACTGTTACTATTATACTTCATTATATTTTTATAGTATACATATATTTAAATAATTCATATCACCTAAATGGAATATTAGAATGGGTTTATCTTTAAAAACAAGAGTAATTATTAACTCAAAATATTATAGGTTCTAAAACGTTTCTCCTATGATTTGCCTCACAAATGTTTGGATTTACAATGGCATTTATTTTTGTTAAACAATTACATTACAGAATACTTAAGTGCAAAGTGTACTTTAAAAAAGAAACACTTCCTTTTCCTAAATGTTTTGTGCCTATAAAATGACCTTACAAAATTTATTGTAATCTATGACAATACTTACCTTTATGTAGAACTAGCGGCTCACCCTCGCTTCGCTCGGGTTCGTCGCTAGGTACGTTTTAAATAGATATAAAAAGAAAAAATCTTTCTTTCTCACATTTTAATTATATGTTTTAATACTTACCTATTCCGGACTAAGAGAAATCCAAAAATTAAAATATCATAAAAATTGGAACGCGGTCGAACGGGATAAAAAGTATCCTATGTCCTTCTCCTGGCTCTAAACTACCTCCCTGCCAATTTTCAGCTAAATCGGTTCAGCCGTTCTTGAGTTATAAGCGAAGTAACTAACACGACTTTCTTTTATATATATAGATTAGTTCACTTAGCATTAAAAAAAAAGATATGTTAAATTAAACACATTTCGATAAGCGAAACAACCATATTAATATGTTAGTAATAGAGCAGTGCAGACTAGGCAGTGGTAGCCCAGTGCTAACGCGCTCGCTTTGGAAACCGAGTGAAGCGGGTTCAAATCCCGTGTCTCGCACCTCTGATATTTTCATGTGCGAATAATAATATATCTAACATGATTACCACTTACCTTAGTGACGGAAAACATCGTGAAAAAATGTGAGAGAGCCTAGAGTTTTCGATAGACGTGTGAAGTCCGCTAACCCGCCACTTGGCCAGTGTAGTAGACTATAGTCTGATCTCCCTCGTATTGAAGGGAGGCCCGTGCCCAGCACTGGGACGATAAAAGGGTTGAATACAATAGATTTTTAGTTAGTAATAACATTTAAAATTACCTAAAGAACAATAATAGTGCTCAATCTGTACTAATATTTATAAAGAGGCATTTTGTATGTTTGAATGGGCTAATCTCAGGAACTACTAATCCAATTTGAAAAATTCTTTTTGCAATAAATACTAAATAGCCAGTTTATTGAGAAAGGCTATAGGCTATGTATCATATAATCTATGTAACTATGCCATACTAACCATTCATTCATATTTTTAATTATTTTTTTTTTCTCTATATGTTTATAAATATAATTATAGCTACACTAAATAAGATTACTAATGAATACTTAAAAGTTTTTAAAAAGTTGTAATATTTATAACGATAACAGCTAAAATTAAATAAATAATATGGCCACATACAATTATAAAACTTGTTAAAAATATATTGACCTTTGAGAGGTCATTCGATTGAGACGTCTAAAACCCTAGTCAGTCCTGTGGGCCGTGTCCATGATTGCTATAAGGCATTCAAAGCATCAAATTTGAAAAGATAGTTTTATTTAAAATAAAAACAACCACATTAATAATAATTTATTTATGTACAAATGAAAACTAATTAAGATTGTTCAGTCATTATGTTCATGCTGTGCTTCGGACTCTCTCCAGTTATTCTGAATCATTTCAACAATCATCTGCCACCATTTTGACTCCATAAAATAGTAAATTGAACATACAATAATAAATAACCAAGACAGTATAAGAAAATAATCAGTTTCCTTTTCAACAACACTTGATACAGGCCCTTGAAAATCTCTAGATGTCACTAGAAGTACCTGTGGATTTTGTCCTGTGATAGCATGAACAAATTTACTAAATAAGTGAATATTATATTCCGTTCCATTAAATTTACCAACAGGTCGGCCATTGTGGAACATTTTTAAAGTAGGTACACCCACAATTCCATATTGGGCATTAATTCCATGATATTTTAATGCATCAATTGCTACCATTTTTACGTTAGGATATGATCTAGCTAATGCATTGAAGTGAGGAGCTGCATGAGCACTAAAAGGGCAGGCTTTAGTATGAAATAGTACTAGAACACAATCTGCTTCAATATCTCGACTTGTTATATCCGGTTTTATCTGTAAAAGCTTAGTTAAAGTAGTTCCATTAATTATTTCAACTGATGGTTCAGATTCTTCACTTTGATCATGTATAATTTCCTTACATTTGGCTAATTTTCGTGTCTCATTCAAACTTTGTGTTGTATTCTCCATAGTTATGTTAGCTGAAGTAACCTGGTTGTAAAGATGTGTTAAGGTTTTATTTACATCAGACACTACATTGGAGAGAAGAGATTCTGATTCATCGACAGTAGAAAAATCATTATCATCCTTTTGTATATCAGTTTCTTCTTCAATATCAAATTGTAATGTGAAAGGCGTAACTAAAAAAAACATTACAATAAAATTAAAAGGGGAGTTATGTAAATTGAATTAAAAAGGACGTTTGAATGAATATAACAATTCTATGCACCGAAAATGTAAATGATTATTTTATAAGTTAAGTGTGCATTTAAGAATTTTAACCTTGAAATTAAAGTGTATATTTTTGCATCTAATAATAATATAATAAAAAAACCATTTATTTCACTCTTACATTTGATATTACTAATATTTTATATGACATAACATTAATACTTACTGATGAGGAATATTGTTAATAATATAACATTATATTTAGTTCTGAATTTCATTTTGTAGACTTTATTTCAATTTATTTAAATAAAGCACAAAAATAAAAACACTAAACACCTGTTTTGATGTTTAATGACATTGACATTTAACAAAATAAACAATTTTGGATTTTCATTGATTTGAATAAAGGCTTTTTTACTAAATTGAGTTTACATAAGGGTAAGAGTTCTCAAAAGGAGAGCGCTATACGTATGGCCTATTTACATTAAATCTGAGTTTTTAGCAATTTATTGTGATATCTCTTTTATACCAGGCTTTTTGCTTCTATTGTGTTCGTATCTTACCGGTGAAATGTATTGTACCGAGAAGTTATACCAGCTGAAGGAACAACTGAGAAGGAGAAGTGCATCCTGCGATGGTCCTGACTGACTGATGGATCAACGCACAGCCAAAAGCACTGGTCGTAGAAACGTGAAATTGGAGGACGTATTCTTTATATGATATAGACGTCTGTTAAGAAAGAATTTTTAGAAATTCATTCCCTAAAATTTTCAAATTGGGTAAAATAGGGGATTAATGCTTGTATGAAACTCTGTCATTCGTAATGTGAAAAACAAAGAAAGTGATCTTGAATTTTAAAATAAAAAAATAAGAAATATATTCTTTAATTTTTTTTGAAATTCATCCTTTAAAGGTGTAAAAGGGAGTAATAAAGTTTATATGGGCAAAGAATTATTTATGATCAGAATTACTTGAAACTTGGTATTAATGCTCTTCAATACAATTAAATAAATACGTGTTTTAATATATTTTAAAATTCAATCCCATAAAGGGGTAAAATGGGTGAATGTTTCTTTGCACATTCTTTTTCTATCCCGCTGTTTACCTAACAACGTTTATCCGACCCGGGGCTCGAACTCAGGACCCCCGTATGCAGACGTATATACTAGCTACTGGATGACCCAAGCAGATAATACCAACTGTTTACAAATGAATCAACTAGTTTATTAGAAGAGCCGCCTTTTTTCCTTTAGGAAAGAGCTATATTATATTCATATAAATATACTCGTAGGACAAAAAACTGTTATCGATTGTTCCGAAAACCACTAGAGAAAATATACCTTTGCCATGCCAATAAAATCCTTCTTTAGTTTTGCACTATTTTATTATTAACTATAGTTATTTTAAAATAGGCACCTAAATAAAAAATAATGACTCCCGCATCCCGACTCCGGTCCTACTTTATCGCGTGACAAATGCTCAACCTTGCAACTTTGCGATGCGCAAGTGCAACCAATTAGCCCCCTGTCATGTTTGTTTGAGAAATCGATATTTTATTTATACTATGAGATAGGAGAATATTATTTGATAAAGGTTCGTTTCTTATGAAACATTAGAAACTTACCATCGCTTCGCTCGAGTGCGTTCCTAGACGCCTAAGAATATGTAGTCTATGTATTACTCTAGGTCAGTCTATCTTTATACTTTATACTATTTATCCAAATCTGCCCACTCATTTCTACGTGAAGATTAACAATAAACGAACATATATAACGTTTCTCATTATAGGATACATTCAGATAAATATGTTATACTTATACTTACATACTACCGTTTTCTGGTAACTCCACCCGTGTAATTTTTTGGTTTACTCCACTCTTGAAGTCGTAGTATATTAGTTAGCTTTTAACCTCCCTTAATATATAGGCTATAAAATGCATTTTTTTTAAATCAGAGTAGTAGATCCAAAGATTAGCGTTCAAACAAACATACTCTTCACCTCTATATTTAATGTTTTATAGATTGTTTGAATGAGTGAAGTCACCACTAGAATTTTAAGTTTAACTTTGTCAAGTTTTAATGTTTCTTAATTTATAATATTAAACGAGCAATTCTTGTATATATGTATATAAATTTATATCGTGTATCTCGGAAACGGCTCTAACGATTTGCATCAAATTTTGTATATAAATAAGGTTTTGCTTTTTAAGCTTATCTATATGTCTTTTCTAAAAAATGCATTTTTTAAATCTTCCCCGAAAATGCCGAGCGAAGCTCGGTCGCCCAGGTACTTATTAGTTAAACACCAAATTCCCTTAGTTCCTAAGAAACTGTCGAAGCAAGAGTCCAAGTTGCATTTGCTGGTTCTTCGATCTGTCGAACCGTCTGTCTTATAGTTATCCTAAAGAAATTGTGCCAAGTTTTAAGCAAAACCGATAGTCTGCCGCCACTATAGTAAATATATTTCGGGCGTCTATTGGAATCGCGTGACGTCGCCACTTGCAATATTTGTTTAATTCCGATTCAGTCGTGAAGCGTCCGTCGACGCGTAAATCGACCGTTGTTATTAAATACAAGATAGGTACATTAACGATTGTAGTGATTTAAATAACGTCATGGCGTATTCGTGGGATAACAGAGTCGCTTTTGTTGTGCGCTACCTTTACGGTAAGTTGTGACAGATCTTTTAATTTAGTTTTCGATGGAATTTTCACTGTAATACGGAATACCTAGTGTTACACGAATCCCAATATTTTGTTCGATTTGAAAATAGAATGGGGCAATACATAGTTTGCAATAGAAAAATATATCTTTAGCTGTGCATAAAAAGTATTTTTTTTAAATTATTATTATTAAATATAATAGGAAAAACAATTAAAATAATAAAATATGTAAAAGAAAACAATTCAACTGATAGGTCAAATAAAAAGCATATGTTTTCAGCATTAAGCGCTCAAACTATCTATAAGTATACAAGAGCTAAATATAATTTAATACTACCTATATAGCATTTACAAAAAAGGTGCTGTAAGTGGTAGGCCATTGGTAACGTGCTCGCTTGGGAAACCGAGTTAAGCGAGTTCAAATCCCACGTCTTGCACTTCTGATATTTTTATATGCGAATCATTTCGAACATGGTTACCACTTGCCTTACGGCGAAGGAAAACATCATGAGGAAACCTATCCAGATATGCATCTGAGAGAACTTAGCGAGTTTTCGAAAGACATGTGAAGTCCGCCAACCCGCCACTTGGCTAGCGTGGTGGACTATGGCCTGATCCCCCTCGTATTGAAAGGAGGCCCGTGCTCTGTAGTAGGACGATAAAAAGGGATGATTATAACATAGTACATATCATAAATTATTCTTAAAACTGTTAAAGATATGCTCATTATCCTACCTTCTGTGGAGTAGTTCCATGGAATAAATTTATTGATGATGAACATAATATTTTACTTTGTTTTGTTTCCTAAATCCTAACTTAGACTTACACAAACATTTCGAAGTTCAAACTCTCCTTTTTTATCAATTGTAATATAATGGTTTTGCTGTAAAACGTTATTTAGCAAATATTAAAAATTTAAACGGTCTATATACTTATGTACCTAGGAGACATACCTATCTGTAGAAGATAACAACAAATTCAATTTTTGAAGATCTAATAGTTCATTTTATTGTTTTCTTCTTAATGATAGTATTTTTATAGCAGTTACGATAAGGAAACAAAATATGAATTGTACATCTCTTTAATGATGGACATTCGGACTCGTAGGTCGTAGTTATTCCAATCATTAAACTTTATGACCGCCGTACAAAAGATCCAAATAATCGAACGTACAGTTTAACGATGGCATTTGTTGGTTTACTAGGAAATGCAATATACATGAAATGAAGGTATAAAACTTCATAAGGTTTTTTCTCCATGGCTAAAGCGAAAAAAGGCGTAATTTTACTTTGTATTTTTATTTTTTTATATTCACTAACATTTTCAGTGTCAAATTTAAAAAAAAATTCGTCTTCTCCTAATCCTCAGAGAAATGGATTCACATGCGTTTAGTTTGTATTAAATTATTGGATATTAACATAATTTTCATACGCAAAAGACTCGGAAATATTTTCCTAATATGTTCCAAGTCAAGTATATAGATAGACACAAACCATTTTGAAAGTTATCCTCAAAAACGCTTGTAAAAGTCTATTTGGATGAAATGTATTTAAAAACGAGTAAACTCAATCAACAAAAAGATTTATCGCAACTCACAGGACCATTACTCAGTTAATTGAGCGATATTATATTTTTGACATTGGAATCGGACCAACTTTGTATTATTTTGCAGCGATTTAAAAATGTTCTTTAATTTAACATCAAACGTTACATGCACTAGCGTTTCTCGGTCAATTTTTATGAGTGTTAGATAAATATTTTCAAATAATATTGAAAAGTTACTTACTATACCTACCTACATATAATAAATGTTCAGGAATTATTTTATTAAAAATTTCACCCTTTTAAGAATCCTAAAATATAAAATTAAATTATGCGTATATTGTAAAGTGGACTCAATATTCCTCAATCCTCATATTACAACCATATCTATTTAGTATTTACCATAATTGCAGTGGGGCTTATACCTATTACTCCCAAATTTAACCATAGGACATAGAGCATAAAACTAATTTTGCGATTTTTTTCCCATTGGATGTTCATTTCATACTTAAACAGCATTATTTGTTATGCCTAGTGTACACAAACATTATTTATTTCCTCCGTTACATTTTTGGAGTATCAACAGTATTTATTTTATTAATTAGACATCATTGTCTAATATCTAGGTTAATAATTAACATGAGCCATCAAAATACCAAATTACAGCTAGAAAAAAGACTGGGACAGGTTTCCGTTTTTGCTTTTTGGCTACGGGGCCCTGAAAATGTTTATACTCTTTCATCAGAGCTTTTGTTAGACGATTAGTACGTTAGAGGTATCACGTTTTGTGCCGAGATCGGCCTTTGCTACTTAGGGTGTATCACGTAGCACAAATATATTTTGTAACAATAGGACCGAGACCAAGGTTTACAAAACAATGACGAATTACCTACTCTCGCACTTGACCAATCCTTACAAAATTTTTTTTATCTACCTTTATACCTAATTTGTAGGTGTACCTACTTTATCCAATTAATTTATATGACACAATTACCATAACAAAATTATAATTTTGAATAATGTAACAAAATAATTTACAGCATTCGTAAACATGTAAACATTCTCCTGTCATGTAATTGGGCAACTATCCCGTGATCACTTCCTCAACGACGGCAATCAATCATTTGTCGTCAACTTCAATTTGAAATTGTATTTAATATCTATTTCAAAACAGCATGCCCTTGAAATGTAGCCCGAGTAATGTTTTCTAACTACTGTACGTAGAATAAATCACCTTGTTTTTCTCTTCATGGTTCTCGTGAGATTAAGTGAGTATAGCGAAAGAATAGTGTTAGAAACTTGATTTGGTTAATTATTATAAAGGGAAGCGTGACGTCGGCTCGTCCGGAAATTAGTCTCTATGTTTTTTTTTTTTTATTTATAATAAACGTAGTATAATTATACTCTATGGTTCAGACTAAAACCTAAAAAACGTTTGAATAATTTGCAATTAATTAACTTTAATGGCGGCGTGTCCGCGGTCGTTGAGGGATTAAGAATAGTCTGTAGTTACTCGAGCGCGGCAGATTAACATAAAAGAGGTTACCTTGCACTCTATTGAGTACTTTCACCACAATATAAGTCTTCTATATAAAGGGGCGCGTCTAGGGAAGCCGATTAAAATATTTAAAAAATGTTTTGATAAGGTAAAAATACTTGAAACCGTCAGATTAAGGTGTTGTAGGCTAGTCACATCCTGAAAAGTGTCCAATTCAATAATCTGCCGATTTGCACAAGCCTAAGAGGCAAAAATCATCATAAACTTTATAGTCGATTTTTGCCTCTTCGGCTTGTGCAAAACGGCAGATTATTGAATTGGACACTTTTCAGGATGTGACTAGCCTACCACACCTTAATCTGACGGTTTCAAGTATTTCTACCTTATCAAAACATTTTTTAAATATTTTAATCGGCTTCCCTAGACGCGCCCCTTTATATAGAAGACTTATATTATGGTGAAAGTACTCAATAGAGTGCAAGGTAACCTCTTTTATGTTAATCTGCCGCGCTCGAGTAACTACAGAAAATCCCCTCTTGGGCTCCCCTACTTGATCATATAAATTAATAAGAATATTTATATCAACTTAGAGATACATACTAAGTACCTTCCAGATATCATTCACCATTAAGTTTTTTATAAGGAACAAAGAGATATTTCTAACCGATTAAGTATTAACATATATCAGAATGAACATATATATAATAATTAATTTATATGATCAATAAAAAAAATGTAGCTAATCCTCAATTAATTGAGCGCTAATTTTACAGCAGTGAATGAACTAGAGACAATTTATTTGTAGAACAATAAAACCTCATTGACATTGGAGTTGTTAATTGGCAAACACCGATACAGATTATAAATCCCTATCAAGCCCAACGAAGCGCTAACCCAGAAAATTGGCTCGCAAATAAGCAAAATTAAAATAAATTGCACTTATCCCTCTGTGTTTATAAAAGTTTTAATTAAAAATAGCCATATAAAATTTATATTTCAAACAAACCTTAAAATATAATTAATATGTTTTAAATAGGTAGGTAACGTGTTTAATGTCTTTTGTTATATTTTCATAATAAATAGAACCTTCTTGTTACTAAATATCTTAGATTTTATGCGAATGAATAGGTAGGTAGGTACCTAAGATTCCTTACGTTGTACCTGTCCAACGAATTTTAATATATTTTGGAATTAACATGCCTTACATATCAAAGGAAGACAGATTTTAGATCGACGTATGTAATATTATGTATATTGTACATATGTATAAATAGGGTATTACGAATAAAATTAATATTTTAATTTTATAAATACACTAGCGACTCACCCTTCGGTTGGGTTCGTCCCTAGCGGACGCGGACTTTTTTGTAGACCTATATAAGATACACAATTCCACTATACATTATTTTTTTATATCTCAAAGGGTTTAGACAGCGTTTTCGTTGAAACTCCCAGATGGCTAATTTTTTTCCGACACCTCCAACAAATATCGTTATAATTTAGTCAATATATACAAAAACTTAACAAATTTGAAATTATATACTAAAACCTTCTTCGAGAACCACTATATTCATTGGTGAAAACAGCATGAAAATCGGTGCAGTAGTTTTTGAGTTTATCGCGAACAGACAGGCAGACAGACGCGGCGGAAGACTTTGTTTTATATTATATATAGTGATATCGAAGGAACCATCCCTCCTAAAGAATACGTAAAAGCAACAATTTCTTTATTTAAATTAAAGCTTGACATATTTAAATTAACTATCCTACTTATTTCAATTTGGTCGAAGTGATTTAGAGCGATATTATTGTATTTTAAGAAAAGAAAAATAAATTGTCGTAAACAATGTTCTTTTGTGCTTAATCTTTTAATAAAATATTTAATTTAATATTTAGTCGTATACATACTTCTATCAAAACCTGTGCACGAGGCCCGTACATATAAATAAAGTTTTGTTAGGTGTATTTTATCTATACTAATATTATAAAGAGGAAAGATTTGATTTTTTGTTTGTTTGTACCGAACAGACTACGAAATTACTGAACCGATTTAGATGAAATTTGATAAGAAGATAGTTTGAGACCCTGGGAAGGCCATAGGATAGTTTTTATCCTGGAAATTATCCCTTAAGTGCGTGAAAATGGGGATGAAAGTTTGTATGGGGAATCAACCTATAGGTATACCTACTACCTATAACCTAACTATATATAGATTCTTCCTTTCTTCTTAATTAACTTTATTCTTTAATAGGCAGTTAATTACCATTCCATACGTCAAATACAATATCAGCTTATTAAAAGATATCTCCCTCCATTAAATAACGATCATAGTGATATAATGATTTATGATGTTCAAGAATTTCAAACGCGTTAATAGTTTCGTTAGGTCCAACCTTACGAAAGGGCTCAATTTTGGCATAGATCTTGAGTAATGACCGGTTAAAATAATCTCTTGCCATTGTTCTCCGCCGCCAACTGGGATTGCTAATTTGTATTGCAACACCTCCATCTAGCTAGCTCCTTTGTACATTTTGCAACTAAATTCGTGCCAGGTCTATAATTAATAGGTTTCCTGCTTTTCTGTTCTACATATATTTAATAATCAACGACCGGACATATGATAGGAAAAGAGAGAGATAGTTTTCCAATTACAGCACTAAAGCGCATTATGCGGCATAATGCTTAACTTCGAGTTTTTGAATTACAGCAACTTTCCTTATCCTAACTACAGCAACGCTCCGCACAATCGAACACTTTGAAAAGTGCTGCTTTGGTGTGATGCGCGCAACGGACACAAACTCAAAAGCAGAAAATATAATAAGTGTTTTTTCACGTTGTTCTTATTTGCGCGCCAAAATGCGGCATTAAGCTCCGTAATTTGAAAACAGGGAGGGTATTCCGTGGTAATGTTTTGTCCATTCAAACATGCCATGTCAAAAAACATTGCATCAGGGAGAAGCACACTATCAGTAGTTATTCTTAAACAGAAGTAGTTTTATCAATAAATATACAAAATAATTACCAAAATGTGAAACAAGCTTGCATCATCGTGCATAATATGTACCTACATATCACTAGAACTGGACAGCTGTTACAGACCATTTCATTGTTTCAATAGATCGTTAACAATATTGTGATTTACTTGAATTTTGAAGGCAGACAAATTGTCGAAACAGTAACCATATGCTGGTCGAATTTATTTGTAATGTTGTTGCCAAATTACACAAACCGACTGCTTTCTGTTGAAACTGCATAACAAAGATGTATTGACAAGACACATGGCTGGGATGACTAAATTACTTGACGAAAGTTAAACTATTTAGTAGTAGTACTAAGCACTAAGCAGTATTAGAATTTTGTAATATATCTTGAATCTTCATTTAAAACGTCACCTGCTCGTTAAGCTCTTTAAGGACCTACTATGGTACAAAGAGGGAGTCTCGCCTCGAACATAGCGAATATCAAAAATAAAATATCTATATAAAAATTTATAGATGTAAACTTTACACGCGATATATTTATTAAAATAACAAGTAAAAGAACTTGACATGTCATTTTAATAACAAGCAATTACTTTATCGAATATTATTTTGCAGTACTAGATAACCTCCTTGCGAATCTAGACAAAATCGTGGGCGAGTCTTTAGTTCTAGTCTATATTAGTGGCGATGTCTACATTCGATATTAGCAATTTTTGCGCGTGCCCGCTTTGATAAAGCTCCGCCATATAAATATAGCTTTAACGTTGACAACAAAGAATAATCGTTTTATTAAACAATGTATGATAGTTATAATAATAACTGCCTCGGTGGTGTAGTGGCTAGCATGTACGGCTGTTCGAGTCCCGGGTCGGGCCAAGTTTAGTTATTGAGTCTTTCTGTAAAGTAAGCCTCAGTAACAGCCCGGAGATGGGAAGTTGGCGGTGTTTTACCCCCATGCCTCGGAGAGCACGTAAAGCCGTCGGTCCTGCGCCTTAACTCTCACTGGTCGTGTCGAGCAGTCGTTCCACCGGAGTATGAGAGAGACAGGAACAGAGAGTTCACCTGTGTCTGCGCGTACACTTGTGCACTATGATATCTCCTGCGCAGTTGGCTAGTCTCAATAAGATTGGCCGCCGTGACCGGAATCGGTCAGAAGAACATCATCAGTTATAATAAATTCCTTAACTGGAAAAGAAACGTTTGTATGTTTTCATTTTTGAAACGCACTGCTAAGGTGTGGAATACCCTTCAACTGCATCCGTGTTGACAGTCGCCAATAATATGAGTACCTTCAAGGCAACAATGAATAGGCATCTTCTAGGCAAGCGCGCTCCAACCTAGACCATCAGTACTTCCCAGCGTTGATTATTATCGTCAAGCGCTAGCCTATATATTACCTAAGAGAAAAAATATATAAAATATATGTAAATTATACTCGTATATCTTACAAGATCAATTTTAGGCCATTACCCATTATTCTAATTTAATATATATTCAAATTTTATATGCATATCCTTTATTTACTTTTCAGATATCGACAATAACGGTTATCTGGACGCTCATGATTTTCATTGCCTTGCACTCAGAACTTGTGTGCTTGAAGGCAAAGGTGACTGTAGTTCAAGCCGCTTGCAAAAGTACCAACATATCATGTTTAGTCTATGGGAAGAGATCGCTCAATTGGCGGACTTCGACAAGGTGCCAGACTATGTCGGTTACACTCCACATTATATACGCTGAGCTCGTGTCTGGCTGGCTTTATATTGGTGTTAGCTGTCGCAGACTGATTGGCTAAGAGATGGGCGATTAAAATTAAAATTGTTTAAACAATGAAACTGACTATAGGCTTATTATAGTACATGTTTTGAATTAGAGTAAAATTTTCCTACATCTAAATTATTGGAGAAATTGAAAAATCACAGTCTTAATCAATATTGGTATGGTACTAAATACACAATCCCATGCAAAAGATCTCGTAAAACTGTCACCAATTCTGTTTAGTATTCTAGTTGAAATAAGTATGTAAATTGACCCTTAAATACCTAAATATGTTTTAAAAAAAAATTAAAAGCGCGCTCAAATGTTCAAATGAGCCTATTCGGTGAGGATATTTTTTGTACTTTTTTGATCAATGATGAGGACATAAAGTTACCCGACTAAGATGTATAAATATCATAAAATGATTTAAGTAATATAATATAGGGTGTAGGTATATTGGTTTATAATTACAGACTATTACGTGCATAATTAATTATTCAGAGTACAGCTAGCCGATACAATAGTAGTTTGGCAGCTTGTTTTTGTTATCTAAGTCCGGTGATATTAACTTTTAAATATACAAGATAGACTCACTAAATTCATATTTTTTTAATTATTAGAGTTTATTGGTCGCAGAATGACTCAAAAATTTTAGCCTCATACATCTCGTTATCGAGATGTTACACGTAAAGAGGCCACGTCAAAAAAACTGAATAAAATCCCAAAAACTAAACATTTATAATAATTTCATATTTTATTTGTATCTTACTAATATTATAAAATGTCAAAGTTTAGATGGATGTTTGGATGTTTGTTACTGAATCATGCCAGAACGGTTGTACGGATCTGGATGAAATTTGGTAATGAGATAGATTATAGCGTGGAATAGCATATAGGCTACATTTTTCCCGGACAAATGTACGTACGGTTCTCGCGGAATAGATTTGTTTTTGTTTTTTTAGTTATAGTTTATTATACTTTGTAAGCGCATTTATATTATCTATACTAATATTATATAGGAAAGATTTGATTTTTTGTTTGTTTGTTTTTTTTTGTACTGAATATGCTCCGAAACTATTGGACCGATTTAGATGAAATTTGGTAAGATGATAGTTTGAGACCCTGGAAATTTTTATCCCGGAAATCATCCCTTAAGGGGGTAAAATTTTGTATGGGGATTCAACCTTTTTTATATAATTACTGTAAAGATGGATTCTATCAAACATACATTTTTTCTACTTATTTTATTAGTTATCATAATCGCCCATCTATAGTACTAAACATATATAACATATAGCCTTAGAAGCTAATGTTTGAAAAACCGTAGATAATTTCAATAGTAGTCTGGCGTTTGCTTTGTAACGCCTATTTCAGACTTCAGTCTCTATTTAAAAAAATAACTAATGTATTTCGTTTTCTTGTTCTTTACATTTAAAACTGTTACTGCGAAGCCATGCTAAAGCTCAAGCTAGAATGACAGACAGATAAAATCTAATATTTATTGCAAATCAAATTAACGCTATAAAATTATCTAGCTCTAACAAATAATTTTTATAGTTAGATATCTAATAAAAATATATCTTAGTAGACTATAAAATTGTATGAATTTTGCTTTCATAGGTACGCCATGAGAAATTAAATTTTCGAAATATTTCATACATTTATTTATAAAAATAACATACTAGTTCCGCTGAAAGGTATTTAATATTGTAATGTCCACAATCCACATTTATTTAACACTACACACATACACGCATTTTATAATTAGAGTAATTAGAGCATGAATATTTTTAATTTTTATATTAAAATATTAGCCTATTTTTAGCATGAAATGTAGCGATGTGCGTTTGCCGCTCTTTTCTAATTTCTACTTGACATTTTTAAATTGACAGCTCATCTATGGATTAGTGTTTTTTTTTTCAGGATGGTATAGTAACTGTGGATGAATTTAAAAGAGCCGTACAGAATAGTTGTATTGGAAAACGCTATGAAGATTTTCCTCAAGCTATGAAAGCTTTTATAGAGACCAATTTCAGAATGATAGACATAAATTGTGACGGTATTATTGGCATTGAAGAGTACAGATATGATTGTGTTCAGAGGATGGTGGTCGACGACATCAAAGTTATAGATGATGCTTTCAATTCTTTGTTAAACGTGAGTGCCACAAATTGTATATTTTATGACCCTAATAATAGCGCAATGATTTTTCGTTTTATAAAGCTTTACCTGGTGCACCTTTCGGTTCATTTTTCAATATATCCCCACGGAAAACAATTTACATTGAAAAATACATAGAGAGAGATATATGTAGATCCTTGGTCGATCTTGAACTCTATTTAAATTTTATCTCTATTACCTAAGACCTCGTCTAAGAACTCAAACTTAAATGCCAACCGTACCAAGCGGCAAACTTTATATGAGCTTTTAAAATTATAAAAAAGTATATTTCCTGTTTTAATACTTAGCTCATTAATTTTAATTTGAAATATAATCATACATTAAAAACGTATATTAGGCCACGGCCACGGTCACTCCAGACTCGTTACGACTTACGTGACTCTACGTAAGATTACGCGGTTCTAGGAATACCCCTGTATTAGTGAAACTTGGCAACCTGTTTGAGAATTTATGTCAATGACGATCTCGTTTTGATGCGATTGCCTATTAAATGTTTTACTATCGGGTATCGAACTGCAGTTGGCAGACATTATTAATAATGAAAAGTAAAATATTTAGAGTAATTAATTACTTAAGCATTCGAGTAGTCTAGGAAATAAACAATGACAATAGGTTTAGAATATAATTGATAGATTAGATTAGTACATAAGATATGTATATATAAAAAGTTCTTTATATCCTTTTAAACTATTTCTAAGCTGCTATAATATTTCTTATCCCAGCAACGGAACTACAGGTTGACGTGATTTTTTCCATAGAGGTTATTAATGGAGAATCTCTAAATAAAAATATATATATATATAAGTAGGGCTATTCTATTTTTGATGTAAGAGACGAAAAAGTAACACGCTATATTTTAATAATTATAATTATTAACTTAATTGTTAGGTACCTGTCGGCGTGCGCAGTGGATCACTTGACTTATTGGCACTCGCTTCTAAGCTGTGAGTCGTAGGTTCTGATCCCGCATAGGTTAGAATTTTGTATTGCTGCACAAATTTTAGATTGACTTAATTTAAACTGAAATAATTGAAACGTAGAAAGTGCTCACGAGTATGTTTATAATAAAATACCACATTGTTATCGTCAATGCAAAAAAGATGTTATTTTAATACTTTGCATTGAAAATTAAATCATTTAGTAACGTGTGACAATGGCCTGAAGCACAATTAATTACAGATAGATGTTCAGAGTGTCAAGAAAGTGTTGATGCTGGCATCGCTCCAAGTAAAGCTCTTCTTAAATTTTTGTTGTCCTATTACATAATTCTATTTGACTGGCTTTTTCATATTTATATTTATTTAGTAATTTATATATGTTTCTAAAGATACCTAAGTAATCTATACACATAATAAAAATGTAACTAAGCCGAATCTGTACATTAAATATTTTTTGGAAAATCTTATTGGAATAAACATTGTCACAGAGGACGAATCTATAATTTTTAGTATTTGTGTCTGTCTGTTACCGCATCACAGAAAAACTACTGGAAGGATTTTGATGAAATTTTTTATGGTGATAGCTGGTTATCCGGGTCAACATATATGGTACTTTTTACCGCGGGCAAATGTCTCATTTCAGAGAAAAAAAATACAAAAACTGCAATGTAAGAGTATACTAATATGTAAAACCTAATAATTTGGTTTTTGGTCATCTAAATGCCGGCGGAGCCGCGGGCACTGCTAGTTAATTTATAAGTTCAGTGCCGCTTTCGGGCTGAACTGAATTTGGATTAGAGGATATTGTAATAATCAAATTTATGAAAATTTGATTATTACAATAGCTACTCGATAATGATTTATCCGGTTATTTATTTTTTGCTCCTTTGTCAAATCGGTTCAAGTTTTCATATAATCCCTTAAATTAATGATCAGTGGTATTAAACCCACCACACCTACGACACCGTGGTCGTGGGTCTAAATTATCAGGATTGGTGATGAAACAATGTCATATTAATGTAGAATGCCGTGATATGAAGAAACATTGCATATATTTATTCAATTTTTAACCGACTTCCAAAATGGAGGAGGTTATTCAATTAAAAATTTACAGAAATACATTGACTTGTCGTATCCCCGTGACCTTAATATCTGAAACCCTTTATTTCTTTTATTTTTCGTCCATTTTATTATTAAAATCGTAGCATAAGTATCTCCCTGAAATAAATATAATTTTATGCATACTTACCGATCTGACATTTCACATTAATATAATTTTTTAATAATTTTTACAGGACGATGACCGACGAAAGGGAGGCATTGCATTATCAAGGTATCAGGAGCTCTTTGCTCTATTCCTAAGCGACCAAAACGATAACTGCCCAGCCAGTCTACTATTTGGACCTTTAGAATTATAATTATACATTTAAATTATTCTGATTTTAAAATAATTTAAAATATTATACCTTATGATTATTTCTCTTTGTTTTGTAAAAAATATTATAATTATTTCCATAGTTGAAAAATTAAGGCATTATATATAAAGTTCACAAATTGATCTATTTTTTCAGTACAGTACTTAATAATAACGTAGTCTAACGAGTATCTTAATTTTTGTTGGAATGTTTGGAATTCAAAGGAAATGCGTGCAAATATATGATTAGAATGCAGGTGCAATAAATTCTTGACCTATAACGCTCCGGATATTGGTATATTCTATAAATAAAAGCACGCATCATAGAAAGTTAAGCTAAAAATAATAAATCGCGGAGTAGACACGTAACGTTCACAAATAGAACGTTAAACAGATGCGTTCTGTAGATACATACGAGTATATTTTGTGAATTTAAAAATGTGTTATGACTGAAAACTACTAATCCATTTAGGTGCTAGAAAAAATAATTTTAAAGAGTGGCGTGAAGATTTTGTGTCTTTTAAATAAAAAGGAGAGATTTTCTATTTAGAATTTAATTTATTTATAATTAATTGTTCACTCAGTTATTTGCCGTCCTTTTAATTGTTTTAAATATATAATTTTACATATAAGATAATGTTATATATGGAAAGTTGTTTACCGTCTTTTATTGTGTGTTAATTACTTTTATGTATCTTACTTCTTACGTATCATGTTTGATATTAATTAAATTAAATCAAAAAAATAAACTAGTAATCCAAGCTAGCTATTAAAAGTAAAATAGAGCATTCAATTAATACAAAAATTAGCTCAAACAGAAGATCTAGTCACTAATAAATTTTACTGCTGTATTGTTTGTAAATAATATTATATGAAAAAATATAAATAAATAATATGAATTAAATCGTTTTTTATTTTAAAATGCATAAATGATTTTAGATCGTTTATTAAAAACTCTATTACACAGAATTTACGAAAATCACACAAATGCACTAAATACAGTTAGCAAATATACAAATTACCATAAGAATATAAATCGCATAATGGCTAATATAGATACTTCTATTTACACCAACTTTGGAATAATTAAGTATAACTTAAATATGTATTTAATTTACTATGAATATATTTATGTCAAGATAAATTAAAGAAGATAATTTCAAACAGGAATATTAAAAAAATAATCGGTTCCTAATAAAATACAATCTTAAAATTGAGATTATAAATAAAAAAAGTTTTCAATTAAATCTATCATACCTATGGATTTTTTGTCGGGTCTAATTTGTCTACTTGATATGATTTTAATATATTATTCTATGTTTTATGTCAAATTGACGTTTAAGAAGGCACAAGCTAAACAGTAAAATGATGGAGGGTAGAGGTAAAGACTAAAGAGTCTCATACGGAGATAAGTTGAAAAAGTGTCCACCAGTGCTGAAAATAGATGGCGCTGGCGTACGAAAAACTACGATATGAATTTAGCTGTTTAGACGGAGTGAAGTGTGCCGAATTCAAAACTTTAAAATTTTTCATGACTAAATTATATAACGAAATACTACTAGTACACAAAACCTCAACTATTTTCGTTGTCTAAAATAATTTAGTAAATATAACCATCCTTCTTTATTACTTTTGGAGATTTCTTTAAAAATTATCCTACGCTACCACAGCGCCACCTTTATTGGACGCGTTTTGACGGACACTTTTCACACACAGTGACTCCTTCCTTACCTCTACGCTCCACACATAAAATATACATAGCAATCGGATAAAAAAATTCAAAACCTTCGAAAAGAATAATGGACACAATGTATTTTTCATATGTTTTAAAACTGCATTATAATTCAATATATTGTAGTTTATACATAATAAAATAACAACTGATATTTTAACATTAATTAGAATTATATATTTCTTTATATAATGAATACATAATGAAATATGTATTTATGTCATATTTACATATAACATAGAGGTCCTACATTCGCACAAAAAACGAAGTTCGAAAATTATATACGAATGTACCTAATACAGTGAGTAATAAAGATTTCAAAAATTTTCGAACTTGGTCCAAACATGGAAACCGAAAATATTTACATATTCAGTCACTCTTATGATTTATAGCTTTAGTAGGTACTCTACAAATTGTTATATATGTACTTATATAATAAATCTCAGATATTTATACATTTACGTTAAATAATCAATGATAACTATACATAATATGTTCGTATGTTTTTAATATCATTTTTGACTTTGTCACTATTTATTACATATTCGTAATATGCATAACAGTGAATAGTTAGAAATTCTAACATCATTATAGACTTCTTTGTAACTATGACAATTACCGCTTTAACTAAACATTTCTTTTTATTGTCATCGAAATAATATGTACCTATGTTTTTATTATTTTCCAAAATAAGAAAAATAATTAACATTAAACGGTTTTATAACCCAATAAACTTTGCTTTTATTATAATTACTAATCATAATTTAATATATTAGTAAAAATAAAGGAAGTGCCCACCCTTACTTTTCATAATGGCCGTCGGAAGTCAAAAGATTTGTCATAACATTTTGCCCAGCAAAACTATATACATTAATAAATATTTAAAATAAAAAAAAACTACATAAAATACGACAATTAAATCAACATTTAATAAGATAATATATGCCAATTGTTCACTTTTTCTGTTTTGATGAGTTTTAGATCTTTTAGTGATTTGGGGCAGGCTGATAATAATATATTGTAAAAACAATAAAAATCATAGTCTCCACGATTAAAATAGATGAAAGAAAGCCACTAGTTACCACTTCCTTCACATAATTATATAGTCTATAGATCTAAATATTTAGAAAGCCGCAATCTATATTTTTGGGGCAGAACCTTTTATAAAGGAAGCGTCGTCGCATGTTACCGTACACTGGTATAGCCATTGGATACAATTCCACTACACTAGGTACACATTTAGCGATTTCATAATATGAATTAGAAAACTTTACACTACCTCAGTCCACATCTCAAGTCTTTCACTGAAATTTACCCCACAGTCATTAAGTACTTAGTACCCGGTTAGTACAGTAAATATTTCTTAAGCAACTAAAATATTATATACATAATTTATAAATAGATAAGCTTTAAAAACATCGATGTTTAGAAAGACTAGCTACTATGGTAAATCTCAGTACTGTCGTTACATTTCGTTGGTGAGATCGAGGCCGCTGCCGGAGGCCTGGGGCTCCACTGGCGTAGAGTCTAGACTGCCGTAGGTGTGGCCGCCTCCCGGGACCACCCGCCAGCGTCCCCGACGACGGGTTATGCCTAAAATATAAATTCTTATAGAGGGGAATGCTCCTTCTTACATAATTCATTATTATATTACTTTATTTACCTCTTGTCTCATTGTAACTCAAAGCGTGGAAGCTAAATCTTGCGCTGCTCAAGTGCGACATATTTAACACGGGAGCAAATTTAAAGCATATGAAGTATTTTTATGCTAATTGATAAAAGAAAACATATTTACAAAACTAGGAAAATGTAAGATTTAGATTTGGCTTTATAAAATTCTAATTAATAAAAACGATGCAAAGATACAATATACACAACATATATTTTTGAAAAATTTGTAGTGAATGAATGAATTTGATGAATGCAACTTCTAATTTTTAGTAAAGAATCCTATTGTTTTCAGATTATGATCTAGCATGTTATGAAAAATGTACCTATCATACGACTTGTGTTCGTAGACACGTGTATGAGAACTTAATATAAAAACTAGACATGTCATTTAACTTAGAACCAATTATATTTGTTATTTTTGAAAATTTAGCTAATTTAGTTATTAGTTGATGATATCAAATGATATTAGACCGCAAGCATTTAATCACACTATGTATCTGATAATTCATGTATGCTATTTTGAATATCACATATTTTAATCAATAGTAGGTGGCATTAAACTGCTTAAAAACTTTTTGCAAAAAATGAGTCACTGAGTATGTCCAAGTATTTTTTTTTATTTTGTATCTGTATAATATTTTACATTTATTTTACTATCTCAACCATTGAACAATACATTGTGATTGTAAACTGAACTTCGAGTTGTAATCAGTTTTCAATAAAATACATCAGTTAGATAAGACGAAGGTGAACAAGTGTGTTACACACATCCTAGTTATTATCGAAGTAAGTTTCCACTTTCCAAGCATTAAGTACCCTTTATATATTTTTTTTTATATTTCTTAAGACAATATATTTTTTTATTTTTGCATAGAAACAAAAAAGTAATGAAATATTTCTTGTACTATTAAATAAATAATGATAATAGATATTACTGACATAGATTAACTTTATGGTGAAAAAGGTAATAATTTTTTTAACTTATATTTTTTTTTTATCTTACAATGGAAAAGTGTTTAAATTAAATATATTTGCGCGATAGTTGTATTTTAGTTAGGTGTTACTGTTTTGATATTTATATTCATATACATTTTTTATGTAATACCTTTTTTAAATAATTTTACTATGTCCTAAAAACAATGCACAGACAAAAAATGCGTGCTTCTTGCAATCCACAAAATCAATTTAATATTTATTTTTTTGACCAATTTAGTTACATCTATAAAAAGTTAATCTATATAAACAATTAATTAGCAATCATTTTAATAAATAAAAAAAGTATCTTTATTATATTACTTTAAATGCTTTAATGTAATCTTTTCTCTACACACTCGCGTTTTTCTAAATAATTTGCTTTATGATTTATATAATTTAAAAACATTTGATAAGCCAACTTTTTAGTTTTATTGCAACAACTTGATATAAGCTACAAATATTCTACAAAAAATTTACAAAGAGACTACTTGTTTTAATTTTTTTAATGAAAGGTAATTCGATTTGTCTAATTACAGGTACTGTAAATAATTTTTTTGCAAAATGATGAGTCTATGATTGTTATGTATGAAACATGTGACCTAACTACTTTTGTTAAAACTAATACTATAATATTTCCTTACGTTGTTTTCACTTGCCATGAGCAGATCCTTTTATAAAAAAAAGAAAGAAGAATACTTTAAGAGTTTGTACATTGGACCTTCAATAGGTATTTAAAGCCATCATAAATCGATAAAAAATTATACAATATAACAAAATAAAATACAAATGTTAAAAAAAATTGCTTCTAACAATTATTTATGATAGCTTCAAAACTATATTCTAAAGCTTTACATGCAACGATATGGCATTAGCCCCGTGTCCATGCCATGCAGAGGTGCTAAACTAAAAATAAAACAAAAAAACAAATAAAAAGACGTAATTTATTTCTATCACATTAAGTCGGTTATTACATTTAACCATAACCTTTGGATAAAAAGCGTTTCCCCTCTAATTAAGTACTTATTAAGTAGAGATTCCGGATCTTAAACATTCGAATACATTTCACTTCAGTAGAAACAGGTACCACAAAACAATTTGTTCTAGAACAATCTATAATAGTATGTAATAAAGGAACATAGAGGGCAATACTAAAATCTCAAGGAGTAAAAATCACAATAGTACCTTAATTTAAACACGAAATGGAGATAATAAATATTTGTTCTTAATATCCTTGGTCTTTATAGGCGTACCTGTAAAAATAGGTGCCTCTTTATATATTTTTTTAAAACACAAATTGCAAAAATTCACCGACACCTGTTTTAGTTTCTTCCCCAATATGTTAGTTCAGTAAACGTGGGACGAAAAATAATACAAACAGTACATTTATTTTACAGCCAGGGATGTACTTACCTCTCTATATCGATAAAAAGCAAAATACGTAAATTAATTTTTACAAACCTCAGTTAATGTATACAACAAACGACATATGTATATAATTTTGTATATACCTGTCCAAGCTGTACATCACTGGATGTAAAATATTTGAACTAAACATTGCTACAAACTTTAAATACAATGTAGAATTTATATCGATTTTTCTTCAAATTAAAAAAAATTGAATTCAAAAATTTTTGTAATAAAAACAATAATCTATTACAATTTATTTAAAATTTATATAATAAATATTTCCGAAGTAAATAATGGAATAATATTAGCCTAGCGTACATCACTAACACAAATTGTATACACGTAAAGCACATGAAGTATATATTTAAAAAAAAAACATGCGTCTAAGCGCAAAAATGATACCAACTTTGAACATTAAAAAGTGAAATTAAAGCCTTGTGCATTAAGTAATAGCATATATTAAAATGCGATCTAACTACACAAACAAAAAGTTTAATGTTAATCGGATAGATCTGTTCATCTCTTAATTCATTAAAGTGAAAGTTTAAATAATTTCTTTTAATAGGTACAAATTTTTTACCGTCAAACTGTGGACCGACTTCAAAAAAGTAGGAAGAGCTCATTTTGGATATGTTTTTTGTATGAATGTTACCCAAAATTTTCACCTATACTGAACCGATTTTCGTTATATTTTTAAGTGAATAAAATATATAAATCTCAACCTTTAAGTATCGAATTTTAGATTTTGAAGTCGGTGTCGCATTTTATATTAAATAATTTCATTAGTAGTATAAAATTGTTATTATATTTCTAAGTACCCGCGAACATAAGTACTTGAGATAAGTACGATCACGCGATAAATTAACACGGCGATAATAAATAAATAACATTATCATTTAAATTCGAATAATTAGGAATGACTAATGTCCAATATACATCTAACATCGAAACAAAACATGCAAATAATTGAAGGAAAATTATCTACAGCTAGGCCCTTCCACCGGCTAGTGGTTAGAACCCGAACCCTCTAAGGAACATTGCAATCGGATATGTATACATATATAAATTGATTTAATCTCAAAATATTAAAGTTTTGTATATATAATATCTAAATAGTAAAATAATTTCAAAAAACTTTCATTTAATATAAATTGAGTTTAATACTATATTATCTAAATGTGACATGACACACCAATTGCAAATCTCCTTTACATGTAAATGCTATATAATTAATAAATAAGAAAAAAAGAACCAAAAACCAGTTGGTTTTGCGACAAAACACAAACACCATATCGTGATATAAAGTTAATGTGTGTCGCAAAATTGCATGGTTAGGCTCGAACTTATATTATAGTGAACCTCCCCAAAGTAACAAAAATACATCGATAAGTTAGTAATTGAAACGAGATTGAACATTGCACGACACTATTCCTCCATTCAAGTCAAGTAATCATTATTTTAACACATATATTATATACTAATAGCGAAGCATATGTTAAAATCTCATTTCTTATAAGGTATTTTTTTTATATTACTACCGCTTTACACCTTAAATAAGCCCAAAAGCGTCAGTAACCGGGATGAATCGGATATATCGGATAGCAAATTGTTAGAACACATTACAAGAAATGAGTTAGAGACTTAACATTGAATGGACAATTGGTAATTATTAAACTAATATCGATTTTCCGTTATGATGTAACACAAGTTAGGTATATGATATATGACAAATTAAATATATAATGGGGAATAGCTTTAGTATTTTAAATAATAACTTAAGTATAAATAAGTTTCATTATTATTTATTAATATTCAACACTCAGTTAGGGACGCCACAATGATATAAATATAAACAGCAATTTTAATACTTTTTATTATTTTATACGGATCCCTTAAAAACAAACACCAAAAACTATACAGTCTGCTATAATATATTTTTTTATTTTTATCTTTTATTACTTAAAATTTTTCAGTAGACAAAGGTCACAGACCATACATCCTAATCGATTGAAATAAAAGTGACATTTAAGATGTGACATTTAAACTGTCAAATGCAATGCAAGGTCCAGTCTCGTGCGCAATCACGCGAGCAACTTGTCAAAGTTATATTTTCGTTCGCTTACTCGCGTGAGGGACGTCTCGGCGACCGCCTCCTTCCCGCGCAGCAGTTGGCGCGCGAGCTTCTGCTTGTTGACGGGGGACCCTGAAATGTTTTACTTACCGCTGTTTACTGTGGAATTTATTTATTCTACTCGCTAACAAAACAAAATATGTTATGCGATTTATGAAATCGAATTGGTAACTGTTATATTAAAATCGGTTAAATGGAAATTTAATTGATATTGCCTATGATATAGATATCTAGGTTAACTATTAAACTCAGTGTAAAAATATAATGAGTTATGTAAATACTAAGGCAAAATATAAGAAATAAAATGAATAATCTAAAATTAAAACAACTTTGGGTTAATATGCAGAGCAATAATAATAAGATAGGCGAAAGCTTAGTTATGTATATTTGACTGTGATCGATCGGTAAGTTTCCTCAAACTAATTTTCAAATAAGGCGAGCTGATTACACCAACTTACTACCATAGAGTAAATAACAATAAAATTTATTCCTTTTTAGCACAATGTGGTAAAACCTTTACTTCGTGCCCATAAACGAGTTAACATCGATACAAGTTTCACACTATTAGCCTCTTACCTCGGGTTAGCAAAGCAAGCATTTCATATTAGAATGCACAGTAGTATATCAAAAGTATATAATAATATATTTGACAAACTTATCATAGATATGTGTTCATTAAACTTCAACAAACCATAACTGTAAGCCATTTAAAATGACTCCATCTTTACGGTACTACAATAATTTATTTTCTTTACACGGCGTTAAAATAATACGGTCCAATATACAAAAATGAAGCCATAATACAATATGCAAATGAAAAAAAGGAAGGGATAAAGAAAAATTGGAAATAACATGCAAGAGCAGACTAAGGTAAATAAAACTTCGACATGTAAAGTAATGCGCACGTACAAGTACAATTTTCATAATACTCTTTAAACGTAGTTCATCAATAAAATTAAGTCAAGAACACACCAATGGAAAAAAATAGAAACATTTATTTAATTACAATAAAAAAATCATAATTTATTATTATTTTAATTTAAATACTATTTACCTTCTTCCCAATAACAGGAAGACATTTATTAAAAAAAATGTACTTGTATGTTATTTGGATGAGTGCATGGATAAAGATGAAGCTAAAAATAAACACTTGACAAAACCAATTGTATCTCTGCGCCATTTATCTAATTCTATTTGAAAATACGCAATTTAAGCATACATATAAAGTTATTTAAACTTGAGTTACAAACACACACATTTTATTAAATTTTAAATTTCCATTCCTAGTTTTACAATATGGCTGTAAATAAACTCAGTATGTACTAAAATAAATATTATTCTATCTAAAATAAATATTTTATTAAAACTTCTATCAGGCTGATTTTTTCCGGGTGAGTTATGATGTCCTTTAAATTGGAGCAAATGATGTCACAATCAAATAAATAATGTTATAAAGTGACACGTAATAGTAATCTAATATATAAAAATCTCTTGTCATAGTGCTTGTGGTCGCGCTTCTCCGAAACGGCTCGATCGATTTTAATGAAATTTTGTTTGTATATTTGGTAGGTATGAGAATAGGTTGTAAATTATTTTTCAAACTCCTACTCCCACCCCCCATTTTTTAATCGCTATTTTAGTATTTTTGTATGAACAATATTATATAAATAAATAGCGATAAACCCGAGTCAAGCGAGGGTGAGTCGCTGTATATTGTATTAATACACAGCTATATAACAAAACCAAAGCGTTTTTTGTAGATTGAACGCAGGCGGAGCCGCGGGTTCTGCTAGTTTATTTATATAAAAGACTAATTCGTTTCTAAACTTACTTTGTCAATAATATGAGCAAAACAAAAAAATAATGAGGTAACCATTTTGAAACAGACAGTAAATATTAACTTTACGTTAATAACATTAAAGAACCATAACAGAGAATCCATTTCACATACAATCAAAATCATTTACAATGACATCTTTAGGAAAACGTATCTGTTTCAATGAGCATTGTTGTGTCTATTGAATTGACCGAGATATATGAGCATTGTATAGAATGTGAGTCATTTTCGAAAATAAAGAAAATTTCGTGTTTATTTTGAACAATATTAATGTATGTGCATAAAAAGTAAATGATATCATCTGGCAGAGTCCTGAACAAAAAAATAAGTCAAACTATCAAAATTTCGTATGGCCTCGTTAAGAGTTCCAAATTATATTACAACTATGCCAAAGATGTCATTAATAAGCGATTTCATTAATATGGACAATAAAATCAATAAAATATTTTTAAAGGGGTTTACGTTAAATAATTATGTTTCAGTTCTAATGACAAACTAATAACACAAATGACACAATACTGTACTAGTACAGGTGCCTCATCCCGTACAAAGAAATTGGACAGTACTAATTCGGGCTATTCTTGTTTATGTGAACAGATAATAGATGTCATTAATTCGCAAATAGTGAAACGATTTTATTTTATATATATATAAATAAACCAAGATAAACAAATTATAAAAAGCAAAAGCGCCGTCTGTGAATACGCACTACAAATCCATTAATTCAATAGCTGATACTTCAACAATAAGTAAAATTACGATTTGATTTACAGACGCATTAATAGTTTTCCTTTAAATTATTATTTTTAAAACCATAATGTACATTTTCAGGATATAAATTCATTATATATTCTGAACATATATATACAGGATATATATTTCGTAACACAGCTTCAATAACAAATCAATACATGTAACGTCATCTATTGACATTTATTTGAACTAATTTTTCTTTGTTCGTGATGAGACCCCATACTAATACGTATAACAATACCAAGATCACAAAGTAATAGCATCTCGCACTCACCTATATAACTGAGCATGACCGGCAGGAAGATGAGGCCGTGGGCGGCGCCGATCAGCACTATGCCCAGGTACATACGGAAGTAGAACACCTGCGATACAATCACAATACGCGTTATTATCAGGGCTGCCAGGTCGCATAATTGGATACGAAAATTATAAAATATGGTTATAGGTTGAATTTTTTTATTCATGACAGACTATTTCTCAACAGATTTGTTAACTTGTATAATAAAATTTGATTTGGTATAATTTGAGTGACCCAGCGGTATAAAATAAGTAGGCCTTACTTGCAGCCTTGGTTTATTATACATGCGAAAGTTTGTGTGTTGTTGTCGGTTCCAAGAGATTGCTCCCGGAAATCTTCCAGGAAACCGGCAAAATTCTAGACTACTGGGACGCCCTGGGGTGTAAAGAATAACACACTAAATAGCACAAGTTCACGCACAACGGGCAAAAATGCTTAAGTGCGGAAAAAGTCGTGCAAGATCTACCTGGTGAGTCCCACATAACCACATAACCTGTATGTCTACAGATGGTATGCGTAAGGTAAAAAAGATCCGTTTTTAATCATAACGACTCTAATATAAAAAATATTCTTGTAACTACTTTCAAAGTAACATATATATACCTGGAATATCTGGCTGTTGGCGGTGCCGAGCACGATGATGCCGCCGAACTTGGTGAGCGTGATGCCGGAGAGCACGGAGGAGCCCATGGTGGTGAGCGCGTGCGAGGCGCGCGCCACGCGCCCGCCGCCGCCGCTCACGCTGAACGAGTGCACCAGGTGCGAGCAGAACTCCACCGCTATGCCCACCGCCATCACCTGTTCCGATATTAAAAATATACAATTCATTATTATTGTTTTTTTAAATTAAACACACAACACCATCTAGTTCCATGGTAATTTACGAGGCCTGTGTTATAAGTACCAGATAGTTGATACACTACAGATCTATATAGATATATAAATTTGAAGTGTCTGTTTGTAATGTCAAAATAACTGCGTTTTACATGCATGCATGCAATGCATATAAAATTAAATACGGTACTTATAAGAAAAGCACAATTTTTTAAATTTTTGTCTGTCTGTTCGTTCTGGATAATCTCCGAAACGGCTGGACGATTTTGACAGGACTTTCACTGGAAGATAGCTGATGTTATAGGGAGTAACATAGGCTACTTTTATTTTAGAAAAAGAATTAGGGTTCCGCTCAAAAAAATTAAAACGTACCTAGGAACGAACCCCAGCGAAGCCAGGGTGTCGCTAGTATGAATATAACTTTAAATACATACATATTATATAATATTTACATCATAATATCCATGACTGGAGTACAAATATTCGTGCTCATCACACAAATATGTACACTCAGCGGGATTCGAACCCGCGACATCTGGCACAGCAAGTAAGGTCACTACGATCTGAATCTGAGCCAAACCTGCCGTATTAACAAAATCACTTCAATCGTTCTCATGTGATGCGCTTACCAACAATCAACATATCATTTTTTTTATATACACTAGCTGACCCGACAGACCTTGTTCTGTCAAATCTAGTGTGTAGCAGGTTCTATTAGAAAAACGGTGTTTTTACATTTTTCCAGGCATTTTTTCCAATTTTTCTCTTCATAAGAACTTTCCTCGGACTATACCGTATTTTTGAATAAAATAATAACCGAATTAGTCCAGTTGTTCTCGAGTTTTGCGTTTAGCAACACATTTAGCGATTCATTTATTTTATGTACATTAAGTTTCATGATTAAATTATAGTAACAAAAAGTATGACTTACCAAATTAACTAACGATACTGCATTCAAACTAATGTTCCACCAGTACATGAGACCTCCAAGATTTACCACTATCATTGTGATCGTTATCACTACCACCTGCAAATAAAACATATTAATTCATTGTCAATTTTCTACAAATGTACATAGGGCCCTTTTATCCCATCAAATAGTAATATGGTAATAATTGAATTTCAATATTATTTTAGACGACTATGCGCGTTAAAATTACTTCATACCTCCATAGTTAAAATAAAGTTTAGCGCCAGCAAGTTAGAGTGCCGTAGGTAGAAGCAAATTTAGAATAAATATTGGAATAAGTTGCAATATAGTTGCATCAACTTAGAATTTTATCAAAAAAAAAAGACGTGTGGCACTCGGAGACTGCCGCGGTAAAGCTATTGCATAGCATTTTTTATCAACTTATGCAATTATAATTATTTATTTATTTTATGAATGCAGTATTTTTTTCCTTTGTTTTTTTTCTTTGATATTAATTCAAGTTACACTTTGAGCGTGGTTACCGATAAAAAAACATTTTTTTTTCTTTTATTAAATAAATGAGATGTTAATATTGTTCAAAATATTTTTATTATCTTTCAATACATGTCGGTTCTTCGGGAATATTTATCATTGAAACTATAGGTTTATGGCAACTGAAATAAGAAACATAAGTTTGAGACTTGATATCTTCTAAATATCTGGAAAATATCGCGTCAATGATGGTTCCATATTTTGTTGTGGATTCTTGTGCATCATTATTCATTTTCAAATTCAATATTTTCGAAAGCAAGCTGCATCGACTGCATCTTTGTTGCAAGAATTCAAAAGACTGTCTCTAAATAGTGTTCAGACGATAGCTCAAAGTGTATTAGATTTCATTAGTAATAGAAATGGCATTTAAATAATTACTTTCAACTGCCAAAGTCTAAATAGTCACAAATACGATTTACAAGATTCAGTTACGAGGCAAGCAAATGTGTTACTTATTACCGAAACAGATGTCAGATCGTCAGAAACGTCAGATGTCAAATCTGAGTGGGGGGTGTTAGGTTTTTTTCGTTACGGAATTTCTGGATTCGGTCCCCACGCTCAAGGCCCGCGATAGAAGCTATGCAATAGCTTAATAACAATGACATATAAAACCGGAAGTACAGACAGGACCAATATGAAAACAGAACTAGTTTTATTCATAGACAAATACATATAAATAACCTTTACTTATAAATATAGGCAAAGTATTAGTCTATACTCTGTAATATCAATATACGTTTTAACATTTAGTATAGATTTCTCAGAGATGAGATATTTTCCCACAGTAAAAAGTACCCGAAATGTTGACGCGGATAACCAGCTCAATCATTATACCAAATTTCATCAAAATCTGTCCAGTGGTTTCAAAAATTCTAAAAACTCTAGATTCGGCTTCTGTATCGACAATAATGTCTATTTCAATAAGATTTTCCAAATAAAAATTAAATTGAATGTACAGATTCGGCTTAGTTACAATTTTATTAAAATATGTATAGATGTCAAATATTCGCATAAACGAGATACTATATACACTGCATACAATTTCGATTGTAGACAACAAAACCCAACTCACCAAAGCGGAGAACAAATCGAAACCCATCAGCACAAAAGTGACAATGAATATAGATAGAACAGAGATGCCCATGGACTTGAGTGTGTCCGGCCACATGGTGAGGTACTGCTCGTAGAAGACGTAGAAGACCGAGTACGGGAAGACCGTGGGGCTGGCAGGCTTGCCGGCCTCGCGCAGCGCCCGCTGCAGCGTCTCCGTGAGGTTGGCGGCCACCACGCGCGCCGCGCGCAGCGCAGAGTAGTAGTCCGAGCTGGTCTTCAACACCGTGTGGTAACCTGAATGTATAGGAGTATATTTATTATGTTCTACTATTTTTATCTATTCTACTATTATAAAGAGAAAATTGAAAAAAAAAGTTTTTTGTGTATTCGTTTGTAATGGATAAGCTAAAAATCCGTCAGACAGATATAGATGAAATTTGGTAACAAGATAGTTTGAGACCCTGGGAACGATACTTTTTATCCCGGAAATCATCCCTTAAGGGGGTGAAAATGGGGATGAAAGTTTGTATGGGGAATCAACCAAGGGATGAACGCGAGCGAAGCGAGAGTGAGTCGCTAGTATATGTATATTATATATACATACACTTAAAGGAGGTGACGGCCCAGTGGTAACGCGCTCACTTAGGTAACCGAGTGAAACGGGTTCAAATCTCAAGTCTCGCACATGTGATATTTTCGTTTCAACCATACCATTTAGAATCATTTCCATCATGATTACCACAAGTCTTACGATGAAGGAAAACATAGTGAGGAAACCCGCATGTTTGAAGAACCTGAAAAGGCATGCTCAGTCCGCCTGCAGTTGGCCAGCGTGGTGAACTATAGATCCCCTCATATCGAAAGAAGGCCCGTGCCCAGCAGTGGAACATTATAAAGGTCTGACCACTACATACACTTAAAATCGAAACTCCTAAAACCAATTCCACGAATACAAACGTACAAAACTAAACAAACCCTGATAATAAGTAGCGCCAATCTTGGCCTGACTTCGGTTATACATATTGTAGTTGACCGCGTGCCCGTAGGCCGCGTGACCGCCCTTCACACAGTTCAGACTGGGATTGTCTTGGAGGTAGAAAGGCACGTAATGCTGGAAGTCCGCCGCACTCGGCCGCCCTTCTGGCTCTAATAGAGATATGTTACATCTTTCGCATGATGCTGAAATAAAAATATATATAAATGTAGCTATATTGTTGTATTTTATTGAGTTTCTAGATATATTGTATAGTTGTATCTATTGTATTGTTAAATTATTATTTTTTTTCTCTAGATAGATATTGTTTTTTTTTTATAATTTATAATGCTGTTAATTTTTAAATGCTCCGTGTCTCTGTTTATGCATGTCGTGGTTACTTAAAAGTATGCTAACAATGGCACAGTTGTGTATTTTTGTTAAGTTACTGTATATCATGTTGGTGATCCATGATAGTGAAATAAATAAATATATTCAGTCTAAACAACCTTATGTTAAGAAGAGCTAGCAAGAAAAACGCTCACTGCAATCCATTAAACTAGAAAGAAAATTAGTTTAACACAGAAGTAGAAAGAAATAAGATAGTATGAAACAGTTATAAAATATGATTAGTCTCTACTTTTTATTATCAATATATCTCGTATTGCATAAAATGAGACCTTACTTATCTTATTTCATATCCATACTAATATTATTAATTCGAAAGTTAGAAGTTCTTAAAAGAAAGTAAGGAAGTTCTTGTCGGTCATCTGTCTATTACCTTTTCACGCTTAATCTGCTGAACCAATTTAGATGAAATTTAATATGGAGATAGTTTGTGACCCTGGGAAGGACATCGGATAGTTTTTACCCTGGAAGTCATCCCGGGGATGATTAGGGGAGTAGATGTTTGTATGGAGAATCAATCATTTCTCAAGTAAGATATATAAAACTCATTATACCTGTATACACAGGGATGATGACATATATATTATATATTCTATCTATATTGCTTTATATCTTCTTCATATTTTTTTAATTTTCAAATAAGAAATAAGAATAACGTATACTTACAGGAATAATCATTTGGACAGAAACTAGAGTTGCTCGGGAAGTATTTGCAGCATGAACGCAACGCCGCCCAGTCGAAGAAATCGTCCAGCCACGAGTTCGGCGCTTGCGCTATGTACGTCACGTTGGACATTTTGTATGCTGGAAAATATTAATATAAATGTGTTGTTACATTAACACACCATCTAGTTACATGGTAAGCTACGAGGCTTGTGTTGTGTTAACTTTACATACATACATGAATACAAGCATTAGTGTTCATCACACAAATGAATGCCCCCAGCGGGCGGGACTCGAACCCGCGACCGCTGGCAATACGTTTATTTATAAAAAAAAAATGTTTACTATATAAAAATGGGTTGTAGCAAAATATTTTATTCCTATGTTATGACTTTACAATAATTATTTTTATCTCAAAAGTAAAGCTCACAACAAAAAATTTAATCTTTAAAGGTACCACCATAGGATGGATTTTTTCTTATATTATATGAAAATCTTTTTATAAAAAAAAATGAAACAACAATATCGGTACAAAATTAACGATGATGACAAAAAATATAGTCTAAATCCATACTAATATTATAAATGTGAAAGTTTTTAAGTATGGATGTTTGTTATTCTTTCACGCCAGAACGTCTAAACGGATCTGGATAAAATTTGGCACAGAGATAGATTATAGTCTGGAATAACACATAGGCTACTTTTTATCCCGGAAAAATGTACGGTTCCCGTGGGATAGATTTATTTTTATTTTTGTTATACATATTTTTCAAATTAAGAGCAAGTGATACAATATATAAAATAGAAATCTATATCTATTTAATCTTTCTTAAATTTACGCGATTATTTGCTATTTTAAATAAAACTATATTTTTGGATTATTTCACTGATTTATTATGATTTTGGGTAGTCACTGTCTGTAACAAGTTTATAACGCCTTTGAGACATCTAAAACTTTAGTCTCTCTCGTGACCATGATTCACGATAAGATATTGATGATGAAGCATTCGAAATGTCGGGAATCAAAAATCAAAATAAATCCGCGAAGTGATCCAAAACGATTGTTTTATATGGTATATATAAAATCTAAATCATATATAAAATAAATAAAAAATAAATATATTTAAAATCTAAATCCATTTAATACCAACCAGAATATAATTGCATGGCAACACTGTCGGGCCTACAGAAGCGAGTGCCACAGACCAAATTCTGCACATCCCTATCCGAATAGTCCAGCTCGTCCGTCACCACGAAGTACACCGGCGGCCCGATGTTGAGGTACTTGTTCAGGTGCTGGAAGTACTTAAGCTGGAAGCTGTCCTGGGGCATTGATAGTTCCTGGTCTAGACCTATGTCTATGTGGGGGGCGACCTGCGAGATAGGTATGTTATTATAATTTATGAAGTTGCAAAATAATACGGCAAATATATTTAATAATTTCATTTAGTAATTTTTCAATTTTATTCTAATCAATCATACACCTAATAATTTATATGATTGAAATCACATTTACTTGACACACAGAGCAGAACCAAGAAAGCAATTCTTTTTACATAGCTTAAGTATTATTTTTTTCTTTTGTAAGAATGTTGTATATGTAAGACTACACGTTTGGCTGTTTGTAGTGACCTTACTTGCTGTACCAGCGGTCGCGGGTTCGAGTCCCGTTGGGGGCATTCATTTGTGTGATGTACACAAACGTTTGTACTCCAGTCATAGTTGCTTACATTTATAATATGTATAAATTTAAAATTATGTATGTGTAATGTATCAACTACCTGGTATCCATAACACAAGCCTCATTGCTCACCATGGAACTAGATGGTGATGTGTGTTAATGTCCAAAAAAAGTATATGAGCATGTATGTGCGTGCGTGTATGTATGTGCGTGTATGTAGTGTGTGTATGCACTCACAGCGACCGATGAGCAGAGCCAGGCGAAGAATACGATCATGACGGCGGCGCGCACCTCGCGGCGCATGAGGAAGGGCACGTACACGCAGCGGAACAGGTTGTAGAGCGCGCCGTCGCCCGCACCCGCGCCCGCACCCTCCGCCTTCGTGCCCGACACGCAGCAGAACACGTCGAATCTGACACGTCACGTTATTTATCATTATGTTTTCTACTAATGAGGTTATTATAGTTGAGTTGTTTTATTATACATGTACTGTTTTAAATAAATAATATAATATAATAAATAGTATGTATTCAGCCCTTTTTAACGTCCAACTGCTGGGCACAGGTCTCCCTTCAGCACGAGGGGAATCAGGCCATAGTCCACCACGCTGGCCAAGAGCGGGTTGGCGTACTTCACATGTCTTTTGAAAACTTGCTAGGTTCTCTCAGACATGCAGGTTTCCTCACGATGTTTTCCTTCACCGTTAAGACAAGTGGTAATCATGTTGGAAATGATTTGCACATGAAAATATCAGAGGTGCGAGACCCGGGATTTGAACTCACTTCATTCGGTTTCCCAAGCGAGCGCGTTACCACTGGGCTACCACTGCCTATATAATAATAAATAGTATATCGTCTTATTAACTTTGTTTAAAACCTACAATTATTCGAACGTGTTTGTGTATGTACATTGTACAATACTCATAATATAGCTTTGTTTATAGCCTATAAACCTACGTTAGAGATATACATATATGTATGATTAATCTATAAACAGCATATCCTAATATCATCTCGCTAGTTTTGTTTACAACTAGCGACTACTCGTATGCAATTTCTTACATAATTTTACGGATTTTAATTTTTTTTCTACTTAGCTTGGAGGTAGAATTTGTTATAAAAAAAAATTGGAAAAAGGAATAAAAAATGTCTACATAACATTTTGAGGTGACGCACTGATTTATAAAATAAATAATTAATTTTAATTTTAGGTTTGAATGAAGAAATACAAAAAAATAATAACATGTATTTATTTTTTTTTTTTAAATTTCCAAAAATGCAACAGTGAAAGTTGTCTATGTTTTCAAATATTCTCCATTTCCATACCTATTATCATTCTGCCGCCTGGTGTCCAGAGCCAGCAGTGCGACGAAGCATGTGACCTGCAGCAGGAAGTCTACCAGCAGCGCGGCGCCCGCGTATAGCGCGAACGCGCGCACTGCCGGCATGTCGCTGAGCGCGCCCAGGAAGAAACACACTGACTCCGACACAGACGTAAGGAACATCGATGGACCTACTTGGCCTAGACTGGAGGACATATAAAAGTATATATTAGTAAGTTTTATTATATATGTATATAAAAATCTATGAGAACATCCCTATGGTCTCTGAAAAGGCTGAAGTGATTTTGATAAAATTTTAATAACAATAAAATTAAAAAAAATATACAAACAAAACAAGTTATTTATTCGCGAAAATACATCTCAAACGTAACCAATGATAAAAATACCTACAGAATTACCCATTGCCACTAATATTAAAAAAAAGCCAAAAGCCGAGAAACATTCTGGCAATGTACTGCCGACTAACATCCTGTCATATTAAAAAAAAAGACAAAAGCCCACTAACGTTCTGCCAATATGCTGTGGCACGGTCTCGTCTGGTCGCCGCGGCTCGCGCTGGCTGGTCTGCACCAGGATGAAGATATTGTCGACGCCCACCGCCAGCACCAAGAAGGGGATCACCTCCACGATGATAAGCGTGGCCGCCACGCCGCAGAAACCGAATATGCCGATCGAGCAGACCACTGACGCCAACACTATTAGTACACCTGGCAACATAGAATGTTCATTTTAGTATGTAGTATGTACAATGTACACCCACCCAGACTCGTATTTTATAGGGATGAGCATTGTTTGTGAAATACTTTTTGATGGATCAATAAAATTGGTAAAAAAATGGACAAAAACTTTCTTCACTTTTTTTAATTCATAAGCCGTTGATATATAAAAACATTCCCTAAAATCTGTTCAAAAACGTTAAGTCAAACCAAAGAACAAAATTCAAAAATCGAAAGTTTTAATTGTATAAACACAAATTGAAACTTACACAAACCACATAAAGTAGTATTTAAAATCAAAGAGAATTACATTCTAATTAGGATTTTTTTAATATAAATAAATTAACAAGTAATATTTTAAATATATGCATAATTATTAAGGTCTTAATTAAAATTTGAAGGATAACCAGTAAAAAAAATTGCAAACATAATATAATCCAACCTGTAATAATTACTTTAAATATATTTAAATAATAATCTTGATTGCATTTAAAAGGTTACAGAATTAAATATATAAAACTAACAATTCTCAGAATATACTAACATATCCAATTTAGTAGAAAAAATAACCTTCAAATAACCAAAAAAGAGACAAATTACCGTCAATTTAAACTATATAATATACATAATTACAAAGACAACAACGTACCTCCCAAGCCGAGTGTGACTTTACTATCGATGAGCAGCCTCGAGAAGGTCGTATACCTCCCCAGGGAGATGGCGATGTACGCGAACATGATGAAGTAAGAAACCAAGATGGTGGACACGTCTGAGCGTGACTCGCGGTCCAGCTCGTCCTCTATGGAGCGCTCCGATGTGTAAGCTATATCCATGTACGACGGCATCTCGTTAGCTGTGTAGTTCTTCATGAATTCTATGAATATTTTCTCCCATTCGAGCGCCGGTTTTAGCTGGAATATACAATACTTTGGTTAAGAACAAGTTAATTGAAAATTAAATCGATTTAAAACTATTTATATGTTTCAAATACATTTAAATTTTAAACAAAGATATTTTTTGTTCTTTTTTTTAACCAAGAATAATCATTATGAATACTGTTAATTATGACCTTGTCACATAAATAAAATAATAATATCACCCCCTAACCGATTTCGGCTACGACGGCAAACTTCACTGACGCTAATAAATATAGGTAAATAGTATAGGAAATGTTATCCTGCAGGCATGTAGAGTCAAGGCTAATATTCCATTTGGATGACAGTTCTACACATACGGTGAAAGATAAAACACAGGGCAGACTTTTACTACTAACTTTTACTACGCCGACTTTTCACTACAGAACTGCCTTCCCAGTCGGAAATCTTCCGGCTACTCACAGCCCGCCTATACTGACGATTCAAAAGTCTAATTATACAACATCGATCAAAAAAGTACTAGATAGACAATCCCATTCAAAAGTTATCTTGAAACTGTCACCAATCGTGTTTAAGTAATTATTCCAGTTGAAATAAATATACAACAAAGTAAATTGAACCTTTAATACAATGTTTAAAGTTGTTTTCACAAAAAAAAAATTAAAAGCGCGCTCAAATGTTCAAAAGAGCGCTCATTCGGTGAGGACATTCGTTGTCGCTGATTGTGTATCAAGTATTTTTTTGATCGATGTTGTACAAAGTTAATTCTTGTATGTAGTGATGGAGCATACCTTATTCTTGTCATGGTGGTTGTTGACGAGGAAGGTGAGTATGAGGGCGTCGGCGCGGTGGAAGCGCGACTGCTGCGTGAGCGGCTCGCCCGGCGCCAGGAAGCCGCCCAGCGCCACGCCCGGCAGCACGGGCCCGCCCCACACCGACAGGCACATGTACGGGTTGCTGGCGGAGGAACATTCTTACTATTGCTATGATGTTGTTCAAATTTTGGTAGATATGGTTTTGCAACATTGATTCTATTTTCCTTTTTCCATAATTTATTTGTGATGCTATTCTTAGGTTAAGATACGGGACTGACATGTCCTAAAAGGATAAAAGTCCCTAAATAAAAATTGAGATAAAAGATACTTTCTTATTTATTAGGACGTATTTATTACATTATAACTAGGGGTGTGCGAATAATTCGAACTTACGAATTATTCGTTCCGAATCGAATATTAATATTCGATTCGAAACTCGAATCGAATAATTCGAAAAATTTCGAATAATTCGAAAAATTTCGAATAATTCGAACATATATTGCAAATTTTAAAAATGAGCAATTGTTTTCTCTGGGTAATTGATTTTTAAACGAAAAGTATATTATTCGTATTTTGACACACGATTTGAAGGAATTTAAATGGATACAATTGAAGATCCAGAGATATTCATTAATTCGCGAATTATTCGAAAACTTTCGAATTATTCGAAATTTTTCGAATTATTCGAAAACTTTCGAATTATTCGATTCGAATATCGATATTCGATTCGATTCGAATGATATTCGCACACCCCTAATTATAACTAGTAATCAACCATAATTCATTAAGTTTGATCGACATTGAGATTCTTTTTTCAAAGTTATATAAATAATAAATATTAAATAGCCTATAAAATCCAGAAGAAATTTGAAACAAATTACAAACAATATTAATCTACTCTCAATTTGACCACAGACTTTAACAATAAACAAAAGAGTATATATGCGTATGTGTGTCAAATACATGGTAGTGTGTGTAATGTATTTTTAATTTTTTTTTAAATATTAGCATTCTGCACTCCTCCTCTATTATAATATAAACTATAAGTGTGGAAAATTTCATACTCCTCCGTCCGCGCAATTTTCGTAAAAAGGGATACAGTTTTTGCTTACTTAGTATAGTACCAGAATATAGGCTAGAAAAGCTAATAATACCCACTAAAACCTAAGGGAACCTCCCTCGTCCCGTACCCCGTAATGAAGTGTCGCAGGATTACACCCAACCACGACGCCCTGATGGCTACCTGCCGAAATAGACCAAGACAAAGAGAAGAACAAAAGCAGCACTAACTGAGCACAGGTGAGCACTCGGCTGAGGTAGGCGTTGTCCTCCAGGTCGTCGGTGACCTGGTCGGGGTCGTTCTCCCACCAGCCCCATATGGACTGCACGGCGCAGCGGTCGGCGGTCGGCGGCCCGCTGAACTGGGACGACAGCGGCGCGAAGCATATGTCCTGGATCTTTGTTTCGTTGCCTAGGTCTGGGAAATAGTTTTGACGGTTAGTATGGAATAGATAGACTATATATTATATATGTACACATAGGTATGATGAATTGTTGTGGGTTGTATTATGACGGGTTTTCCCGTGGGATAATCTCCCGCGGTGAAATGGAGCCTACATACATCATTCTCCAGCCCTACAAATATATTCACATAAAAAATCACGCTAATCCATCACTCTGTTTCGATGTGAAAGAGAGACATACAAACTTTCACATATGTGTATAAACTACTAGCATGGATTAGTTTGAACCGACATAGAAAAAGGAGGAGCTTCTATTTGTATTTGGTATATTTACAATGATTATTATATTTAACGAAGAAAGAGTTAAAGAAAAAGAAATCATTTGGTTTATACTAGTTAGACATTAAAAAACTGTCCAAAAATAACAAATACTCTTTTAAACCAAATCTAAACAATATACACATAAGATCTACCATAAAACAAGACGTTACTTACTCATAATTCTATTCTGCAGATCAAGAACAGTCAAAAGGAAGGAAGAATTGAAGACAGGTCCAAACGACATAACAGTTTCATCAGGTGCCGTGTACTCTACGTCTGGAAGCCCTTTGGCGCTAATTATCAACATCTCAGTCCTGTAGAAGGGCTCGAAGTGGGAGTCAAAGTAGTCCCTTTCAAGGCGCGAGCGTGAGTTGGGCGCCGCCCACAGTTCTACAGGATTTGTCGTCACTTCTACGTATCTAATACCGTGACCAAGACCGATTATTACACAGAACCCTGAAACACAACAATTTTTTGTAACACAATATAATATTATAAATTTTTTTGGAGAGTTTAAATAACTATTTTTTACTAAAATTACACAAACGGGTATATTCAATTAATAACCGACCGAAGCTTCGTTTTCGGCCATAAATCATCCGAAGTTCGGTCTAGCCGAAAAACATAAGTTAGTGAATTATGGTGCATCATTCGGCCTACTTTGTAAAGCTCGACAATATCAGGTGATATTCGGTTAACTTCGGGGTGAATTGGGTCCGTTACTTTGTTTTTCTTGAAGTTGTGAAGCGAAGTTATGTTATATTTTTTGTTTTATTTCTTTTAAAGCGTACATTTGCTCTTTCTATCCATAAGTGTAAAAAAGAAACAAACAATATTTCAGTGTATCTACAGCGGAAATATTAATCAAATCAAAATGTAGTCTATTCAAATAGCATTTTACTTTTGAATTATCAGTTTTACATTTTTAATTTAAATTAAATGTCAGTGTATGCAGTCCGTGAGGAATCTACCACCGGCTCGGAAGGCGATTCTGCTAAGAAGAGCGGGAAACTCAACAGGTGCTCTATTTAAATATAATAATAATTGACAAGATATCAATACATGCTACTGCATGAGTCAACTAATATTAATCCCACACATTTGCATCAGCTAAGTATTCCACGACGGAATAATATGTCTAAGGGGTCGTTCATAAAATACGTCACGCAAAAAAAAAACGAGTCAAAAATCTGCAAAATTGTTTGATGAGCTCAGGCGAGCACTTAACTGTTATTAATTTTTCCAAAACTGAATTCAAATCAAACAATAGAAAACCTGTCCTAAATAACATATCTTACCAATAAAGAGCACGACCCAAGGCTTGGATGCCATCATGCACCCCCACCATTGGAAAAAGTCCTCTAGTTTGGTCTCCGTCTCAGCCCCCAGCTTCTCAAAGAACGTGCCCTCCTCCGCGCCGTCCGCCGCCTCCACCGACCATCCCGCCGACGTAGGGTTAGTCGCCATCTCTTGATTGTTCTCGGAAGCAACACCTACAAATATTTTAATAATATTACCTAATTTAATTTACTTATTAATAACGTACATAAAAATATATATGTTATAAAGCCCGTTTTTAGGTATAGTTTATTTAAGGATTTACCAAAATGAGTTGGTAAATGTAAGGTTTTTATAAAAAAAGAGACGATCTTTTTCGGGTTTTTACCATCAGAGTTTGGTACATGGTAAGTTTTACCAACGATGTTCTGATATTGGGGTTCTGAGTTGGAAATATTATAGTATATGTAATGTTAAAAATGTTAGGTGTTATCAACGATGGTTGGAAAATGCTGGTTTATCTAAAGACTGCGTATTAATGTCCTTGTCGAGATAAAATGCCTACTTGGATAACGTAGGTTGAGAAGGCTAACACTCCTCACGCTCCCACGTTAACCTTCTCGTTAGGTCTTTTTTTAATTTTAAACCCAGAACATCGTCTACTATTTATAAAATCCTTACATTTACCAAATCATATTGGTAAATCCTAAGATTTCCTACATAAACCTAAGATTTTCCTATATACGAGCTTTTACAGTAACATATACAATATACATATACAAAACTTACCTACCCTACTAAAAAACGATAGTACAAATCACAATACAAATAAATCCGACTTTACATAAATAAGAACAATACATACTGTATTAATATAAATAAAATAAACATGCAATAAAATACAGTTAGTATATAATATTTGCATGCAAAAACTACCAAAATAATATTTAATCGAATAACATCAACGTGAATAACATAATAATCTAACAAAAATAATTATATCACATTCAAAGAAGGTTTTGGACCTTATTTTAGTGTAGTTAAAATCAATTTAAAAACGAAACAAAGTTTTCTATGTTTTACAAATTTAATTGTTTTTTAAACATATGTCCGTATTATTATATTTATATGCGTGTTATTTAATATTATAGATGTGAAAGTTTGTATGGATGTTTGTTATTCTTTCACGCCAGAACGGCTAAACGGATCAGGATGAAATTTGGCACAGAGATAGATTATAGTCTGGAATAACACATAATAGGCAACTTTTTATCCCGGAAAAAAGCACGGTTGTTATATAAGCTTAAAACCAAAAGGTACTAGAAATATTTGAACCTTTCAACAAGAATGGGTATTTACATTGTAATTGGATAAATTTACATATTAATTAGCAACAGACTAATCATTTCATGCTCAAGCATAATTATAATTGAACAACAGGCTATAAATAAGTACAAAAGTATACCCCCATAATTAAGAAAAAAACCCGTATTTATACGTGCTTTTCCATGCAATATAAATCTATCTACGAGTATATAATAAAAATATTGATAATGCAATTTATTGGTTTAGAACGGCTGGGTCGATTTGGCTAATTGCGATTTGATTTTTTTGTAATATTTCGAATAAGGTATTTATGGAAAAAAAATGTATAAGTCGCCCAGAAAACTCGGAAATATATCTTGCCTTTACTGTTAAAATAATTGTAATTGGATGTATGATCTTAAATTACACAAATAAAATTGAAAGTAAGACAGAACAACGTCTGTCTGGCCAACGGTAGTATTTTATAAAGAAGTAAAACAATAATTTAAACAAAAAAAGAACTCATATACAAGACTTTAACACCTCGCGGTTATTTTCTAAGAAATCTATTGTTAAACGAGCCACCTGTGGCTCAGCAGTCGCTGACAGGTTAACACTTATAATCAACATTAGAGTCCAAAACCTCCACATAACAATACAAAACAAGCACACAAACGGTCACAAACACGCAATACATACTAGAGCGATGGCTGTGCAGCGGACTGGTCTCGGGCCCGCCGCGTCGCGCCTCGGCCGCGCGCGCCCACCCGTCTGCGCCCACACCCGTGTTAATACCCGCCCCCGGACAGACAAACCGTTCGATATCGCATATATATATACATATATACCACATATGTATATGTACAAACGGATTTTAGGAATAATAAACAAATACGAATATTTTTAAACATTAAAAAAGGAGGAGGTCTAACGATATTTTTGCTCTCAACCGATTTATATGATCTTATTTAAATGAATGTTTAAAAGTTAACATCATCATCATCGAACATGACCAAAATATTATAATAGAAACTATTCATGTAAAATTAGTCTATTAATAAATTACAACATTAAATATTTCAATATAGATAACTAAACTACTAAGACTCAATTTTATCAAACGGTCTGTCTGTATATTATTATTATTATTATAAATATTACTAAATATAATAATAAATAGTAAAGGTCAGTATTTAAAATCATCGATATCTAAAAAATGGTTTTTAATATATATTTTTTATAATTACATATATTTATAATTAAAATTATAAATATACTTTTAATGTGAATACGTCATTTTTTTAGAAATCGACACTCATATTTAGAAAGATGTTAAATATTGTATTTGTAGTGCAAATAATGAGGGGCGTTATTTACACGTCTCATTTTATGATTAGTAGTCATACCAATTTTTTAACTATGGTCATTGCAATAAAGTGACAATTCCCATCAACGGGAATATTACACGTATTTAATAATTTAATAAACACTTTACATATATAAATATATGCCAACAAAATGTTCAGAAAGCTGTAGCAAATTTTTCATATACATACATATAAACGATATTGATAATTTTTTACAAAAGGTCCATATGTTTTGCCTGTGTACTAACTGAATAAATCTTAGTGAATATTTAAATTTTCCCAAGATACTTTAGAACAGAAGCGAAGAAAAAAAGATATAAAATTATCATAATTTATCAAATTATATTTTTTAAAACAATAAAAAAATATTTTTGTCTATGACCATTGCCCACAAGGATTCCGAACATCTTGTATAGTGAAAGTAAGCACTTATATAAAGTGTATAACTTACCCAATGAAATGTGCTGCTTTATAAACATTTTAGAGTACAGTGTGATTAGTGTTTATACCAATTGTACTACCATTGCAATGTTTCAACCATAACCAATAACTAAACTACTCTTAGTGTTATTAGTGTATACAGAAAATAATCACATAATAAAAATATAATTTATGTTAAATCAAATAAAAATATAACATCAATTTCTATGCTGTTAGTGTCATGAAAGCATTTATATAATATGTATATATAATGAAATAAAATTTAACATAAACATTTTTTCATTAACACACATATATATTGAGATAATTTAATTTTTTCTTTTAAAGTTTTCTTAAAACAAATATAATTACAAAATATTTTACATTAGAATAATCACTTATGAAAATAAATGATCAATTATTAAAACCAAAGGTAGTGGGTTCGACTAAATATAGTTCATATTAAATTTTATTAAATATAGATTAAATATAGTTTATTTTACTTTGTGTATATGTATATATATATATATATATATATATATATATACACACAAAGTAAAATAAACAACCTAATAAATACTGCTAAAAATGTCTATTTACACAAACTGTGCTATCATAATAAACACTTTTAATAGCCAGTGGATAACTAACTGAGGCAACTATTTTCTTTATTTTTGACAAGAGCGAATTCAATGATAAAGCTATCATTTATTATAAACGATGTGTTTAATGCTATGGTTTGCATAAAATATGTCAATAACAATATATCTCTCCATACTAACAGTAACCTTTGCCATGACTACCAAAAAAAATTAAAAGAAAAATCACTTGACAAGTGACAGATGACAGGTGACAAATGTGACAGATAGATGACTCACCGACGACATTCTCCTGCTGGTTACAGCAGTAGACGCCACTGAGGAAGAGCGTGGTGAATATGAGGAAGACGATGGCCATGATGACCGCGTACCCGTCCGCGCCGTGGATGGTGAAGGGCTGCGGCGGCGGCGGCGACGGCGGCGGCGCGGGGCACGACGCCTCGCAGTCCATGCACGAGCAGCCCGGCTGCCCCTGGGACGCGCATATCACACTTAATATTATTATTTATGTTATTGTTTATTGTGTATTCCTTATTTTTTATTAATTAATGTTAGTGTTTGTTTTAAATTTTTTTTGTTAAATGTTTAACTTGTTTTTTTTATTGTCTTCTGCTTCTTATTTGTATTTTTAATATGTGGAAACTTGATTGGTTTATATCTTATCCTATTATTATTTATGTAAAATTGTACTGTTTGTTTCCCTAAAATAAATAGATATTTTTTTAATTGTTTATCATAATAATTTTGGTAAATTATAACCTATAACATCTCTAGAAAACCTTTTGCTAGTGGTAAAATCCGTACAGTTTTTTTGAGATTAGCTCGAACAGACACAAGCGCGTCGGGAACTTCAATTATAATATGTAGAATTTGTTATATGTCAAAGTGTTTATAGTAGTATTTAGTATTTTTATCATGATGTATTTATAATACGACTATTCTCCCTCGTGTCTTCTCCATTCTCCGTGACATTGGCGAAATAATATGTGCTAAATTAGCACGCTTTGAAGCTATTAACAAGAGAATTAAATTGAGATTGTAACATAAAACTATTATAATATATAGTGATTAACATCTTTGCAACTTACCTCAGTACCAACATTACATGCCCTTGTAGAGGGGTTGTAGGGTATGAACCCGTCCACCGGCTCATCCCCACTCAGATAGTTTATTTGGAAGGGCACAGCGGGCACGTTCACGTCGCCCATGAAGTCGAACCACTTCTGTGGTGTGCAAAACTCGGCACCATCACTCCCGCACAGCACGTCTAACGCTTGCTGATTTGTGGAAGGCATTTGCACCTGTATATTAATCAAAATTTTTTTTCAATTAAAACACTACAAATGTAAACATTTATATGACTTTCAAACGTTAATTTATTTATACATATAAAAATCGTTATTATACTTTCAATAAATCTATAGGTACCTATATATAATAAATTCTGAGTCGAATCTGTACATTAAATATTTTTTGGAAAATCTTATTGAATTAATCATTATTATTATCGATACAGAGGCCGAAGCTATATTTTTTAGAATTTTTGTCTGTCTCTCTGTGACCGATCACGAGAAAACCTTTGGACAGAATTTGATGAAATTTGGTATGATGATAGCTGGTTATCCGGGTCAACATATAGGATACTTTTTAGTGCGGGAGAATATCTCATCTCTGAGAAATCTATACTAAACGTTACAACGTACATATATAACTCGTCAAAACGAATTAAATGAACTCGAAACTCGAAGATTTCACTAATAGCTATTAGGTACAGTTTCACTATCCAATGTTTAGCTCCATTATATCTTCATCATCATTACCCGATGTTATCAACTTATTGTACTGACATGCGACAATTTCATACTTACTAAGTTTGAAATGGATACAACAGTTCAACCTCTGTAGGTTAAAAACGACATCCCAGATTTGATAGCATATTTAAAAAAAACTATTAAAAAAAATTAGGAATTTAATAAGGTAAGTACATTGTTATTTATTTAAAAAAATGTATGTATCGAAGCATGTTTTCAGAACTATTATATATGTCTCAACATAAAAACGGCTGTAATTTTTATGCACGATCATAACAAATTCAATAGCAGTAAGTAGTATATGGGTAACGTAACCATTGGGTACATGATTACCATTTGCTAACAGCGCGAGTGGTGAGGAAATCTACATGTCTGAGTGAACCTAAGTACGTTTCGAAAGAAGTGTGAAATCCGCCAACAAACATTTAGTTAGAATTGTGGGCTATGGCTTCATCCAAGTAGGGAGGGACGGGAGGCCTGTTTTAAGCGGTGTGACGTAAAAGGGACTAAGTCCTTATGATATATTCAATTCAATAAGAATGCAATTACGTTTTTGAATCTATACATATAATGAAAGCGTAACTGATCGCTGTCTGTACATGGAAAATATTTGAGACAAACTAATAATGGAGGTCTTCTTTAACGCAATGGAACCTGAAACAATGATTTTTAAGATTTTTGTCTGATTGTCTGTGCGTTTGTTCGCGCTAATCTCAGAAACGGCTCAACCGATTTGGGTGTGGTTAACACTAATGTATTGCGGTAAGCTTCACTTAACATTTAGTATGTTGTTTTATTTCAATCGATTCTTAAATAAAAAAGTTTGTCAATTTCAAGAATTACCAAGGGATGAACCCAAGCGAAGCGAGGATGAGTCGCTAATATGAAATTAAATCACTTTTGTGTGACGAGGAGTGTGACGTTTTACAATCTCTGGGACATATCATCCTCCTTCGGCATAGTAACCTGTTAGTGGCCAGTATCGTTGCTCCACATAAATGTGTTATAATTTAAATATTTCTTATGTTTCGCCTATTTTATCTTTGCACAGATAATAATTAATGAATTAAAAATATTTTATGTATGTTATAAAATAATATTATTTATCTAATAAGATAATTTTCCATGGTACTTACACTACGGCACGAGTCAAACGTTGTGTTCATGTAAGTTGCACCGAGGTGATAATCCAACTGGGTTACTTTTTGGTGTGTTGCTGAAAAAATATAATAACAATAGTTTAAAATATAGAATGTATTAGTTCAAAATGTATTGATTTTTGAAGTTTCATTTGGCACGTTTGGAAAAAAATTATGAGAGTAAGTTATGAGAGTAAGATTTGGCTAAGTAATTAAAGCCTACCAATTAATATACTAATCGGTGCCAGCCCATACAAAGCAAAGCATACCGACTTCGAAAATATTTGATTAGGTATGTATAGTAAATGAAAACTACCAATCAGTTATTTTTTATTTTTTAGTACTTTTGTTTGAAGTCGGTTTTTATTTTTTTGTTAAAAAGTTTTTCACAAATAGAGAGTTGTGACATGCGGGATGAAATCTATTTATGTTCTGTTACGCCAAAGTTGTATAACATCTTACGTGCGTACATATGTAAGTACACACTCAATAGTAGTAGTAGTATAGTAATATTTAGACATAGTTTAAAAATGTCATCAGCAGGGTTCAGTGGTTCACTCTAGTACAAAATAGCGGCGATCACAATAGATCAGAAATGGTCGTAGTGATACATAAATAGCCGCCTAACAGAAATTAAAAAAAAAAAAATAGTTTAAAAAACCTAAAGCTATTTAAGATGCGTGTTAACAGGCTTTTCCTGGACAAACTTGCTAGATCGTAGAACTTATCTATAATTATCTATGCCTCCGAGCTAAAATGAAGGTCAAGAGGAAGCCCATTATATAATAAAAAAACCTTGTTGGTTGTACTTTCACATCATTGACATTTAAATATAATATTTACTTGGATTTATGCGAATATTTGACATTTTAAATAAAACTACCTTTTCGGATTTTTGTCGCGAAAAGAAGTTTTTTTTTTAATTTAAATCTATACTAATATTACCAAGAGGAAAGATTTTTTATTTGCTTGTTAGTACCGAATAAGCTCCGAAACTATTGAACCGATTTAGATGAAATTTGGTAAAAAGATAGTTTGAGACCCTGGGAAGGCCATAAGATAGTTTTTATCTCGGAAATCATTAAGGATAATAAATCCTTAAGGAGGGTCAAAATTTGGATGAAAGTTTGTATGGAGAAGCAACATTGAGATGAACCCGAGCGAAGCGAGGGTTAGTCGCTAGTACAAGGTAATGTGCGAATAGAAATTTGTATGTGTGTATAGTTGAAGTATCTGTGAATAAATGTGCATATAAAACATACAAAATAGCAAAAATACTCACAATTGAATGGGCCTATTGTAGGTTTTAAAAATTCGCTTTGGTTAGGCGCGCAGGTCATCCCGCATATGTGTTTGAGGAAGTTCTCTAAACACGCGGGACACCTCGCCAGGATCATCACCGGCTTGATCTTCTCATCTAAGTTATTTAACTGCTCCGTGTCACAGCAGGAGCTGCCGCCTGCCGCTATATGCGGACAGTACTTCTCTATGAGCGACTGTAATAAAATAACAATAAATATTAATCATATCTATTAGAAAAACAGAAATTAAAGTTTAAATTCAACTAGGAAAATTCGTGTAAGCTATTGCCATCCCCTACAGTGAAAATAATATATGTATGTATTTAAAATTAAAATAAATATTATTTCTTTTTTTATAAGTTAGAAGAGGCAGATTTAACTTTAATACGGGGATAAATACATACAAATTATAATTTAAAACTGCCTAAATGTAATGAGGATCATTTAAGAATGATGATTACTAAGTACTTATTAGCCTACTTTTAGTATTATTATATTATGTTACTTTTAGAATTTCTCCTAGCTAACGACCTTCAAATACTTAATAAAGGCTGTAATCCAACCTTCGCTACTAGAGCTAGGCAGGAAGTTCTGGATATCACTTTTGCTACTGAACAAATCGCTAAACACATAAGTAAATGGCATGTCAGTAATGAAAACTCTTTGTCCGATCACAAACATATTGTCTTTAGCATACAAGGCTCAATAACTACTGAGCCTAAAAGGCTTAGAAATCCCAAAGCCACCTCGTGGGTAGATTTTAAAAACCTGCTCGCTGAGGCAGCTAAGGATTTTCCAAAATCAATCAAGACACCCGACTCCCTTAACATTTTAAACAACTTATTAACGGATGGCATCTTAAATGCCTATGAAAATAGCTGTCCTGTCAGGGAACTTAAGGTTAACAACAATACTCCGTGGTGGAACAAAAAGCTAGAACGACTTAGAGTTTCCACACGTCGCTTATTTAATCAGGCCACTACACCGTATGGGTGGGAACGGTATAAGAAGGCTCTGACTAAATACCACAAAGAGATCAGAAAAGCTAAAAGAGCATCTTGGAAACGATTCTGTGAGAATATCGCCCAAACTCATAAAGGAGCGAGAATCCACAAGGTCCTTGCCAAGACACCAAACATCTTTCTCGGCTTTTTAAAAAAGCGAGACAATTCCTTCACGACCACAGAGATGGAGACGCTGGAACTTTTAAGAGCAACCCATTTCCCAGGATCGTACCCTGTCACCGGCAGTGAATCAAACCCAAAGGAAAACTACATCCACAGGGCAAATAGTTGCGACTGGAAGATGGCCAATACCATTTTTAGGCCTAACCAGATTAGATGGGCTTTGAAAAAATTCAAACCATTTAAATCAGCAGGGGAAGACGGAATTTTTCCAGCTCTGCTTCAACAGGGCATGGAACTCCTTATCCCGCATCTGGTAAAATTATTTAGAGCAAGCTTTGCTTTGGGCATTATACCAGAACAATGGACTAAGGTCAAGGTTATCTTTATACCGAAGATCGGTAAAAACGACTACTCTCAGCCCAAATCCTTTAGACCTATTAGTCTTACTTCTTTCCTATTAAAAACAATGGAAAAAGTAATCGATCAGCACATTAGAACAAGGTATCTTGTGGCTAGACCACTTTCCTGCAACCAACATGCTTACCAAAAGGGTAAATCCACAGAATCTGCCTTAGTAGCTCTGATCGACAAGGCAGAAAGGTCCCTAGAGGATAAGCAGACAGCTCTATGTGCATTTTTGGACATTGAGGGGGCCTTTGATAACACACCTACGGCAACCATCCTGAAAGGATTAAATGCAAAAGGTGTTGATATCACAACCACCAGATGGGTGGAATATATATGCTCTCCAACCGGTGTGCGAAAGTTACGTTAAACGAACACTCGCACAACTTCTACACTACAAGAGGCTGTCCGCAAGGAGGAGTGCTTTCACCCCTATTATGGACACTAGCTGTAGACCTACTACTTGTAATCATGGCAGATCTCGACTACGATACACAGGGCTATGCAGATGACCTTGTTGTAGTAGTAAGAGGTCCCTGCCTGAACACAATTTCCACCAGGTTACAAGGAGCTCTCAATACCATCACAAGATGGTGCAGAGAAAATGAGTTATCAATAAACGCTGATAAAACAGTTATTGTACCATTTACCAGGAAAAGGAAGCTTGAAAGGCTGACCGAACTCAGACTCAATGGCAAAACCCTTAACCTATCAAATGAGGTAAAGTACCTTGGAGTCACTATTGATCAAAAGTTGACCTGGAACTCTCACCTCAACAACATTATACAAAAAGCCAAAATGGCCCTCTGGATATGTTGTCGAATGGCTGGAGCCAAGTGGGGCCTCAAGCCCAAAATGGCTCTCTGGATGTACACCGCCGTGGTAAGGCCGATCATAACATACGCCTCAGTCGTATGGTGTAACAAAACCAAACAAAAGACAACTATGAGTAAACTAGACAGCATACAACGGATGGCATGTCTAATCATCACGGGAGCCTTCCACTCGGCACCAGGCGACGCTTTAAATGCATTGTTGGACATAGCTCCGCTATATCTCCACGTGCAAAAAGAAGCTAAATCTTGCCTCTACAGGCTCTGTACACAATCGAATGTAAAGTTGCAATCGCAATATATGAACAAACTCAAGGAGTTGACATTCGAACACAAAACTCTGAAAATGCCAGTCGATGGCATGAGTACAGAGTTTAACTTCGCAAAACAGTACCAAATAGATCTTCCCAACCGGGACATGTGGCTAAAAAACCAAGAGTCTCACAAAAAGGGCAGTCATGTTTGGTTTACAGATGGATCCAAGAAAGGATCTGATGTAGGGTGCGGCATCTATGGCCTTAAGCCTAGATTTGACATGAGTGTCAATCTGGGCAAGGAGGCCACCATCTTCCAAGCCGAGGTCTTCGCCATCAACAAATGTGCTGAAGTCATCCTGGAGAGGAAGCTTAGAAACCAAAATATCTACATCAACTCAGATAGCCAAGCAGCACTTCTGGCTATAGATTCTCTTGAGACCAACTCTAAGTTGGTCAAAGACTGTATGGATAATCTGAATGTCCTGGGCACATCCAACAGAGTTACCCTCAGATGGGTCCCGGGTCACTCAGGCATAGATGGGAATGAAAAGGCTGATGCATTGGCAAGAAGGGGCGCTGAAACCCCAGATTGTGGCCCAGAACCATTCTGTGGCATTGCAAAACAACATGCCTATTCAATTCTCAAAATTCACTGCAATCGCCAAGCACTTCAAGAGTGGCAATCCACTTCTGGACAAATACACTCTAAAGCGCTAATTAAGGGATATCGCAAAAAGTTTACAAAAGAGTTGCTTCAACTCAACAAGTATAAAACCAGTGCAGTAACCAGAATACTTACTGGTCACTGCAAACTCAATAAACATATGTTTACCCTCGGCCTCAGTCAGACCGCAATGTGCAGACTATGCCATGAGACAGAGGAAACTGCTATGCATATCCTCTGCTCGTGCGGTCCACTCATGCACCGCAGAAGTATCTATCTAGGGCAGCATATTATGCAACCGGAAGAGATACAGATGCTCCCCGCTCAGAAAATCTGGAAGTTCCTGGAGTCAACAGGACTAAGCGGAGAACTTTGAACTCACTATAAAGGGAGCTACAATGGACCAAAACTGGTCGACGTAGCTAGGGCCGACCTCGGCACCACACCCAACATTAATAATAATACTTTTAGTAAGGAAGATACTCAAATTTCTATGATTGTATTTAAATTAAAACAATTAAACAACGATGTACTAAAAGTTTGCTGATTGTTTTTATCTAATAAACTCAATAACTGTCTATGGTACTTCGCCAGATTAGTATCGTGGCTCTAAAAATTCGTAATCTATACTATATAGATATCGTAATCGTAATCTATACTATATACTATACAGATTCGGCTTAGTTACAATTTTATTATATATATAAAATTGTAACTAAGCCGAATCTGTACATTAAATATTTTTTGGAAAATCTTATTGAAATAGACATTGTTATCGATACAGAGGCCGAATCAATAGTTTTTAGAATTTTTGTCTGTTTGTCTGTCTGTCCGTTACCGCATCACAGAAAAACCAGTGAAGGGATTTTGATGAAATTTGGTATGGTGATAGCTGGTTATCCGGGTCAACATATAGACTTTTTACCGCAGGAAAATATCTCATTTCTGAGAAATAATGCAAAAACTGCAATGTAAAAGTAATATCTATAAAAGCTAAGAATTTGGTTTTTGGTCATATGAACGCGGACTGAGCCGCGGGCAATGCTAGTTGTAAATTTAATTAAAATATGACGGCATAATCGTGGCATTTAAAAGATAAGCCCAAACATTATTCATATCAATCCAAATAATGAATCACGAAGCCTAAATCGTATGTAAGGAGATGAACGAGCATTTTTGTTCTTTGACTTAATCGTGCTGAAACTGACCTCAGTCAGGGTTATCGAACAAAATACAGAAGCGATTGTTATACTACAATGATGAATAATAATATAAAAATAACTCTCAGCATTATATCAATTTAGATTTTATATATAATGTATTTACGTGTGTATACGATCTTTTAAAAATCTTATAGACCATTTTTAATAAAACTATCTTTTCGAATTTTTTCGCGAATTTATTTTGATTTTTGGTTCCCGACGTTTCAAATGCTTTACAGCATTCACATTATTTACATGATTGCTGTAAAGCATTCGAAACGTCGGGAACCAAACATCAAAATAAATTCGCGAAAAATCCGAAAAGATAGTTTTATTAAAAATGTCAAGTATTCGCGTAAATATAAGAAAGTATTATCTTATAGACCAATTAAATATCCAGATACTACCAACCATACACGGTAGGGTAGTTACGAGTAGACTCAGAAAACACTCAAGAATTGTAATTTCTGTAATGTCTTGACATAGTTAGAAATAGCACAATATTTCGATGTATGTATATGAGTGCCCACGTTATAATCTAGGGCATGAGAACATTGTTTATTTTTTTTTTATTAATAACTTATATTCTAATTAAATTCCAATTATATATGGTACTTAAGAATTCAATAAATTAAATGATATTCAATGTTAAATCTAGATACTATTGGATTTTTTTACTATAACATTCCAGATATTATAACTGAAAT